TAAAAATCATTCCATATATATATTAAAAGATATCTAGACACAGAGGGTTAGGCCTTAAGAGAGGGCTTAGTATAATCCATACATTTTAAGGAACATTTTTATAAATTTTTACTAATGAGCTTCAACTCTGAATACCTATCTTGTACCAACCAATCCTTACTTGAAGTTCTCTAACTCCATTTTCCCCGTAAACTTTTATATTCGGGCTGGTGAACATGCTTAGGGCTGAGCTGGGCCAGAAGGGTCCCAGTGAACAGTACTCATCTGTCAGATCTCTACTCGCTTAGTGGAGGGGCAAGGCATGGAAAGGGTTCTACCTAGATATTGAACAAAGGTACTAACAATGTGCAAGGCAGCTTTTAGCTATAATCAAGCTACGTTTGAGAGTTGACTTTGTTCTTTTCTTAAAAAGCAAAATAAAATTTTGAGTTCCTCCTACACACATACAAGATTTACTTTAATATTTAATTCATTTTCTATTTATTATATATGCTCTTGAAAAATATGAAATGTAAAAATGATAATAAGACTTCTTTAGGGATGTCTATATACCATCACTGCATTGGTATTTTGAAAAATATCTCTTTTTCTAAAGATTTGTTTTTATTTATTTGAAAGTCAGAGTTATACAGAGAGAGAAGAGGCAGAGGCGGAGGCAGAGGTGGAGGTGGAGGCAGTGGAGGGAGGGGGGAGGGGGAGGAGGAGGGAGAGGGAGAGAAACAGAGAGAGAGAGGCAGGGAAGGAGAAGGAGAAGGAGGGGGGGAGGAGAGGGAGAGGGAGAGAGACAGAGAGAGAGAGGGAGGGAGGGAAGAAGAAGGAGAAGGAGAGGGAGAGGGAGGGGTGGGGGGAGAGGAGAGGGAGAGGGTGAGGGAGAGGGAGAGAGGTCTTCCATCCGCTGGTTCACTCCCCAATTGGCTGCAATGGCCGGAGCTGCGCCAATCCAAAGCCAGGAGCCAGGAGCCTCCCCTGGGTCTCCCATGCGGGTGCAGGGGCCCAAGGACTTGGGCCATCTTCTAGTGCTATCCCAGGCCATAGCAGAGAGCTGGATAGGAACAGGAGCAGCCAGGACTCAAAATAGCGACCACATGGGATGCTGGCACTTCATGCCAGGGCATGAACCGCTGTGCCACAGCGCCGGCCCCGAAAAATTTCTCCTTAAATGTAAAAGAACTCACAGTATATTTCTATGAATGCTGTTGCTTGCCTTTTTTTTTTTTTTTTTTTTTAAGGTTTGTTTTATTTATTGGAAAGTCAGAGAGGGAGAAACAGAGAGCTCTTCCATCTGCTGGTTCACTCCCCAAATGGCAGCATCAGCCAGGGCTGGGCCAGGGTGAAGTCAGGAGCCAGGAGCTTTTTCTGGGTCTCTTGGTTGGGTGTGGAGACCCAAATTCTTGGGCCATCTTCTACTGCTTTTCCAGGTCCTAGCAGGGAGCTCGATCCAAAGTGGAGCAACCTGGACTTGAAGCACTTGCTCATGTGAGATGCTGGCATTGCAGATAGTGGCTTAACCTGCTACACCACAATGCCAACCCCTGCTGCCTGCTTTCAATTTAGAAAATAATTCAGTGTTGCTTTAATATAAATGTAGGATTTTTGAAAGCTGAATACAATTTCTCAAATCAAAACCAATCCCTTGGGGTCGGCGCCATGGCTCACTTGGCTAATCCTCCACCTGCGGCGCCGGCATCCCATATGGGTGCCGGGTTCTAGTCCCAGCTGCCCCTCTTCCAGTCCAGCTATCTGCTGTGGTCTGGGAGGGCAGTGGAGAATAGCCCAGGTGCTTGGGCCCCTGCACCTGCATGGGAGACCAGGAGAAGCACCTGGCTCCTGGCTTCAGATCGGCACAGCGCCAGCCGAGGCGGCCATCTGGGGAGTGAACCAATGGAGGGAAGACCTTTCTCTCTGTCTCTCTTTGTCTAACTCTACCTGTCAAAAACAAAACAAAACAAAAGATCCCTTATTAAACTAACTATTTATATTTTGATGTTAAATTCAGACTGGCTTCAATATTTCTAGATTTTAAAGCAGTTTTAGAAGGAAGCACTTCAGTCCCAGAGACAGAACTTCCTCCTATCTAGTCCCTCTTTGTATTAGAATTCCTTTGGTTTTACTCTATAAATCACCCCCACACTTCCTTTCTTCACTTTAGTGGATTTCTTCCATATACTTGTAATTTTCTCATTAAAAATACAAAATCTTTCCTTTGAGTCCACTCTCTCCCCTCTAGCCAATGCCTCTTTCCTTCCCACCACAGCCACTCATTTTTATAAGTAACTTGTGTAATGTGTGTTGAGTAGTAGTCTACTTATTTATTCTATTCAAATCTCACTCCTTTCAAAGTGGCTTCCATCCCACCATTACACAAAACTACTAGAGATGGTTCATCTTGCCAAATTCAATGTACACTTTCCTGTCCTCATTTTGAGTCTTGGCAGAGAATTCATCCCTTTTCTGGCTTTTCCATTCAGAATGCTTCCTCTGACTCTTGCTGTTCAGTAATTTTCATGGGCTTCTTTCTAGGCTTGCTCTTTTAAGTTTTGTGCTAACCACATTCTACTTGGATATCTAAAATCTCTCATTTACATTTTTCCAGGTAGAACTCTCCTTTTAAACAGGGTCCTGTTCCTGTAGTGCCTTTTTCTACCTTCCACACAACCACGAGAAGGAGGAATTGGAAGTCATTCTAGTCTCTGCCTGCTCATTCATTCCCTCATCAACAGACTATGTCCTATAATTTTTGCCTATCCTCTGCTACAATGACAAACTGATCTCTGTAAGTGGCACTTTTGTCCTCTCCCTGCTTTGGGTCCTACAAAGCTCCCTATGGATTCAGGGAAAAAGCCCACATTTCCTGGCAGAACATGGAAGGACCCTGATTTTATCGACTTTCCCCAGCCTTATACAGGCTTCTTATGATCCAACCATACAGACCTGCTTGCAATTCTCCAAATCCATACCTTATTACAAGGAAATACTACGAGGGAAATTCTAAGACTAGAAGATAGAAAACTGTGATATCAAATCACACCTAAAAACACTGTTTACAACTCTCCTGCTACTTCCCTGGTTCACTCTGTCTCCTTCCTTCACTGCCTATACCATATGGCTGCTGTTGTACTACTTGAAAGGGAAACAGAATACATTAGGATTGGTTGGTAAGTAAGCTTTCAAAGTAAGGGTTTGAAGGTTTCCTGAGAGATCATAACCAATGAAATTTAAATGACATGAATTCCAGATATAACAAATTGTGACATTTTTGGAAATAGTGATATCACTAAATATTAAAACCAAATTAGTGCAAAACAAGTTATCTTAGAAGCCTATTACATTTTGTGATTTTACCTAATTGCACAGAAAGACTATGAATATTAAAATAGAAACTATGACAACAACACTGAGGGAAAAAAACAGCTGTACACATTTTCAATTATTGTATCAGAACTCTTCAACATTTTCTGAGCAATGATCATTGTATCAACTGTTAATGAATGCACAGGGAGATGGTTTTCACATGGACACTATGTCTTCCGCTATTTCTAATAAGGATGTCATCTTCAGATGAATCTTAAATATACTCTAAAATCTCCTTTACTTTGAAATTATTCTGAGACTTGCCTCTAATAGTTTACATTCAAAGTACTAGTAATTATGCGGTTGTTGCCATAAGGCCATCTTAAATTCTACTTTAAATAGATTTAGTCATTTAAACTGAACTTGTAATGAACAGCTGTATTTATATGTATTCTGACTTTTCCAATACCTAGAAAACTAAGTTCACCAGGTATTTAAAATGGAAAAAAAAAAACTTTAATGATTTATTTTAAAAAGTTAAGATGTTCTCCTATCATTTACCATCAGAGACTTTTATTTATTTATTTATTTATTTATTTATTTATTTATTTATTTTTGACAGGCAGAGTGGACAGTGAGAGAGACAGAGAGAAAGGTCTTCCTTTGCCGTTGGTTCACCCTCCAATGGCCACCGCGGCTGGTGTGCTGCGGCCGGCGCACCGCACTGATTGAAGGCAGGAGCCAGGTGCTTCTCCTGGTCTCCCATGGGGTGCAGGGCCCAAGCACTTGGGCCATCCTCCACTGCACTCCCGGGACACAGCAGAGAGCTAGCCTAGAAGAGGGGCAACCGGGAAAGAATCCAGTGCCCCGACCGGGACTAGAACCCGGTGTGCCAGCACCGCAAGGTGGAGGATTAGCCTATTGAGCCATGGCACTGGCCTCAGAGACTTTTATTTTTATTTCATTAAGTATACAGCTTTTTCTTTGAATTCTATGCCATGACAAAATGAAGAATGTAAGCAGTATAAATAGGATTTGTGATACTTACTTAAACACTAGTTAGTGAATGTCTCATCCATGTTCCAAGACTGGTTTATTCATTAATATTTATGGAAAAGTACTGCTTGCCAGGTAGAAACTATTCATTTTGAAGTTTGAAAGAAGTCTCTGTTTTATTTTTTTAAATACTCAGGCATTCTTTTGGCACTAATAATCTACAAGGTGTATTTATGTGAACTGAATTATTAAGAGCTCAGATTTTTATAGATTCATAAACAAAACAATGATATTTAGAGACTAGAATTACTTTTCCTCTTAGAAACTATCTTACCTTTCCTGAAAAATGCATTTTTATATGTCAAAATAAACATGAAGTTAAAAATAACAGTAAAAATAAGTAACAGAAAAGAAACAGTAGAGGAAACCCATAAGTGTATATGGAAGGTAAATCTATGTGAGTGTGTGTGTGTGTGTTGTGGGGGGAGGTCCTGTTTTTCCTATTGCTTTACAAATCTTGGTTGGGAGGTTTTGGTATTTCTATTTAATTTTAAAAGATGTGATAGAGGGACATAATAGAGCTTATTAGGGACTAGCTGTAATGATAAAGTTTTTAAACTTCTATTTATTAAACTAATATAGTGATATAATCAATTCTTATCTATAAACATTCTCCATATTTAAAATAAAAATCACCATTAAGCATTACTTACATTCCAAATCTCAGTGTTCCAGAAACGTATGTTTGCCAGTGTGCACAATAGAACATGAATGTCCCAGCAAAACAGCAGAAGAACATCCAATCAGGGTTTGTCCCCAGTTGTACTGCAATACACGTTCCAAGAACCACAAAAACTGCAGAGGAAAGATAATAATGAAGACTGAACAACATGAATAGCAAACATTGAGTTCCAAATGACTTACAGTAAGGCAAAAATATGTGCTGTGAAAGTACAATCTACTCTCATGGTAAAAGGAAACCAGGATATAATCTTTTACATTATCTTTTATTCCATAATTTCAATCTCTTCACTAACCACTTAGTGAAGCCGAAGTTCTTGAAAGCACTAGCATTTTTTATTCTCCTAACCTAGTGACAGTGGCACTGAGGAGCACTAAAAAGTTACAAGGCAGGAATCAGTGGTTAGCAATTAAGATACCTGTTAAGACATTTATGTGCCACATTGAAGTGCCTGAGTTTGATTATTGGCCCTGGCTTCTGGTTCCAGTTTCCTGCTAATGTGGACCCTGGGAGGCAGTGGTGATAACTCAAGTAGTTGGGTTCCTGACACCTACATGGGAGACCTGGTTTAAGTTCCCAGCTCTGGCCTAACCCCAGCCACTGCAGGCACTTGGAGAGTACACTAGAGATTGAGAGCTCTCTCTCTGTCTTCCTGCTTCCCAAAAAATTTAATAAAAAATTAAAAAGTTAGAAGACAGGGGCAGGCATGTGGCCTAGCAGATAAGACGTCTGTATCCCACATCAGAGTGCCTGATTGAGTGAGTTTCATACCTGGTTGCGGCCCCCGACTCTACTTTCCTGCTAATTCAGGCCCCCATGGGAGGAGCTGTGATGGCTCAAGAGATGGAGTTCCTGTCACCTACTTGGGAGACTCTGACTGAGTTTCCAGCTCCCAGCTCTGGCACCACCTGGGGGCTGTTTGGGACATTTGGGAAATGAACCAACAGATGGGAGTGTGCACTTTTCTCCATCTCTCTCTCCTTCTGTCTCAATAATTAAAAACAACAACGAAATGTTCATTACAAGGCAGAGTGCCAAAAAGAAAGAAAAACAAAGGGCCAAGATAATCCACAAAGGGACGTGCTTTAGATTTGTAATGGTCTTTTCTTATTTAGCAGATGTAATCATGACTGACATATTTGAAACTTCCTACAAAAGTTTTCAACTCAAACTACAACACAAAACTGCCATTTAAAATAAAAAAATGAGGATATCTGTCATCCTGTGGTTACCTGGCTAAATTACAATAGCTTTTCAGGATAGCCTTTATACAGTGGAAGTTTTGAGCTTTTCTTGACTTTTAGTTCTGTTTAACAGCTTAGTTGCTACTCTTCCCTTCAGTATGCAAGCTGTTGTCAGGATACACTGAGACAATGCTTTTGATATAGACCTACATCTGTAATTCTGCATTGAGGAGGTCAAACTACCAAAAGATTTTTTAAAAATTTCTTTCAAAATATCTTAAATGCATGGCAAATGACCAAAAAGAGAAGAAGGAAAAAAAAAAAAAAAAAACCCACACACAAACAAAACAAAACACTGTGAGAAACTAAATAAAAATTGGGGGTAGTCCTGACATTTAGTTTCTAAATCTTTTTTCCTTCTCTAAAAATATACTAAATACTATTTTAAAAACTTGGAAAAAGTACAAATAAACACATATCATCTAAAATTCAAATATAATTATCTATTGCTATCATGCTACTGTATATTTTTCTAGTCTTTTTTCCTTTTAAGACAGTGAGAGAGAGAGACAGAGAGAAAGGTCTTCCTTTTGCTGTTGGTTCACCCTCCAATGGCTGCCATGACTGGCGCACTGTGGCTGGCGCACCGCGCTGATCTGAAGGCAGGAGCCAGGTACTTATCCTGGTCTCCCATGGGGTGCAGGGCACAAGTACTTGGGCCATCCTGCACTGCACTCCCTGGCCACAGCAGGGAGCTGGCCTGGAAGAGGGGAAACTGGGACAGAATCCGGCTCCCCAACCGGGACTAAAACCCGATGTGCTGGCGCCGCTAGGTGGAGGATTAGCCTAGTGAGCCGCGGCGCCGGCCCAGATATTGTTTTGATAGACACAGTGAATGATTACTGCGGTTAAGCAAACGAACCTACATGTCACCTTTCAGTTACCTCTTTTCTCCTTAATAGCATCTATGTCTACTTCCTTTAAAAAGTTTCAGTAATAAATACAGTATTTTTTAAAGACTTGCTTTATTTATTTGAAAGGCAGAATTACAGTGAGAGAGAGATTGATTGATCTTCTATCCCCTGGTTCACTTCCCAAATGGCCGCAATGGCTGGAACTGGACGGATCTGAAGCTGGGAGCTTCCTTGGGGTCTCTGACATGGATGCAGGGACCCAAGAACTTTGGCCATCCTCCACTGCTTTCCCAGAGAGCTAGATCAGAAGTGGAGCAGCCTGGGCTTGAACCGGCACCCACAGAGGATGCTGGCACTGCAGGTGGCGGGTGAATACTTGCTATGCCGTAGTGCCAGGCTCATAAATACAGTATTAGTAACAGTACTCTACATGTTGTACATTTGTACATTAGCAAGTATTTAAAATTAGCAAGCTCATTAGTACACACAATTTATATACATAACACGATTTAAAATGTCTATATAATATTCATTTAAGATAAAGTCCATGAATTACCTAAGCAGTCTCCCACTATTGCATGCTCATCTATAATCTGAGGTTTTTATGATGACAATTGTGCTTTATGAATTTAAAACAAAATATGCCAAAAACAATAATTAGGGTTAAGAACAGCTGAAGTACAAATGAACTTAATTTTAAATTTTCCCGGTAGTGAACAAATATCAACGAGAATCAGTCTTTTAAAAATAGACACTAAGATTTAATACAAAAATAGTTTACTCTGAAAACTAAATTAACTTGTTATTTATTCTAACACTTTCTATCACAGTGCTTTGACCACTGATAATAATTATTAATGTGAAAAAAATCAACAATACCTGTTGATAGTGAATCACAACCATGATCAAAAAGTTCACCCAAAGGAGAACTGCTATTAGTTCTTCTTGCTTGCTTCCCATCTATAGCATCCAAAGACTGGTAAATGAAAAGGCCACATGCACAAGCAATATATGCCCACAAGGGTGCCTGTGAAATAAAATAAGAAAGGAAAGAGTATTCATACATATTAGTTACTATGTTTGGTTAATATATTCTTATGTGTGTATATTTTATATCATATCTAGAGAGGTAGTGCTGGTTGCAACCATTGAAGAGAATATCCGAGTGCTATATAATGCAGAACTTACTGAAACAATTAGGTTTGTAAATTTTAACTACCCGTTTGTAAGGGTGCTCTGGAAGATGCTGGGCAGCTGCTTTGCAGGGATATTATATAAACCTTATCAGAGGCCGGCGCCACGGCTCACTAGGCTAATCCTCCACCTTGCGGCGCCGGCACACTGGGTTCTAGTCCTGGACGGAGCGCCGGATTCTGTCCCAGTTGCCCCTCTTCCAGGCCAGCTCTCTGCTGTGGCCAGGGAGTGCAGTGGAGGATGGCCCAAGTGCTTGTGCCCTGCACCCCATGGGAGACCAGGATAAGCACCTGGCTCCTGCCTTCGGATCAGCGCAGTGCGCCAGCCGCGGCGGCCAATGGAGGGTGAACCAACGGCAAAGGAAGAACTTTTTCTCTGTCTCTCTCTCTCACTGTCCACTCTGCCTGTCAAAAACAAAACAAAACAAAACAAAACACCTTATCAGAGATAAGACCAGGTATCTTCTACAAGATTCCTTTCAACACCTACATTCTAACAGTTAATTAATGAATAATCTACTATAAATTTTCCCAAAGTGAATCCCCAAGATGTTTAAAGGTAATACATGAAAAGAAAATTCTATGCTAACTTCTTATAGGAAATACTGAGTTTGAAATGATTTCTCTACTATAAGACTTCTTCTAGCACTTGCTATTGCAAATGCATACTGTGAAAATCCAAGAGGGATGCATAATATTCTGACATTTTCCAAATTCGTTTTAGCATACAAATTATTTTTAAGTGCATCACTTCATAGGTCCATGGAATAACACTAGCAAAATGATGATCTAGCACAAAGAGTGGTTAGAACATTATTTTTCAAATATTTATAATCACATTTTTAAGGAATAGTTTCTGTTGCTCAGAAGGAAATTGAACCACTGGCATTGAATTTAAATGTTATGTATTAATAAAGGAAAGCTTCTATTTGGTTTGTTATCTTTAAGAATGTAGAATAATGTCCAGCCTATGGAAAAAATTATAATTCCAAGGCATTTTCTATTATCGGCTATCAAGTTATACTGTGAGTATTAAACACTCAAAAGTGTAAATAATCTTCAGTATATTCTGTGCTGCAAAAGGTTTTCCCTCTCAGAGATCTGTTTAATTGAGGTTTTTTTTTTTTTTTTTTTTTTTAATAAAGAGAATCTCTTTTTTTAGATTTTATTTATTTATTTATTTGAGAGCTAGAGTTAGACAGAGAGAAGTTCTTCCATCCTCTGGTTCACTTCCCAAATGGCCACAATGGCCGGAGCTGGGCAGATCCAAATCCAGAAGCCAGGAGCTTCTTTGGGGTCTCCCATGTGGATACAGGGGTCCAAGCACTTGGGACATTTCCACTGCTTTCCCAGGCCACAGCAAAGAGCTGATTTGGTAGAAGAGCAGCCGAGACACAAACCGTGCCCATATGGGATGCAGGTGCCACAGGTGGGAGATTAGCATATTACGCCACAGTGCTGGCCCCTAGTATTGAGTTATTAAGAGTTCTATATTTTAGACTATTAAAAGAACCATAATACATATCTCCCTTAACCCAGAGTTACAAACCCTGAAATCAATAGCCATGGCTTATATAACCCTACTTTACATGTCAATATATTGAGCTGGGTAATTAGTTCTATGGGCCTAAGAACCCTCTCTTCTGGACTTTTGATCTATGGTTTTTAGCTCCTAAAGGAATACAGTAACTCTCTAGAGGGGTGCTGTCCTATACAGTGTCATTGGCCATGTATAACTATTTTAATGAATTAAATAAAATTAAAAATTCAGTTCCTCAGTTGCACTAGGCACATTTCAAATTCACAACTGCCACATGCGCCTGGGCCTACCAAACTGGATCACGTGGATGTGGAATAGTCCTGTCATCACCAAAAGTCCTACTGAATAGCTCTGCTCTGGAGAACTAGAAAGCTAGGGATTTCCCAGGGTTTAAAATTAGCATGTTAATGGGGGTATAGTGTTACTCTAGAACAGACACAATTTAAACTTAGCACACAATCCTAGAAAATAGCAAAAATAATATTATATACATAAAATAGAGAAAGTAAAGCTTTCTTCTCTTTGGATTTTCCTTACTTCCTGTGAACCTGTAGAACACACAACTAACATTTATATACTTTTTCTGTGGCCCATTATTTCATACATCTTAGAGATATTTTAAGAATGGCTTATAATTCAAGAATTAGAATGGTTTCAGCTGGGTTAAGAGTCTGAGAAAGACACTGAAGGAAGGAACTCATGAATCAGTCAGGAAATCATGACACTTTGATAGGTGAGTGGGGAAGAACTGGCACCAGCAAATAATCTCATCACAGTCTGGCAATTATCCATCTTGCAAAACCCTTTAGAGATTTTCTTGTGTTAGTTGACTTAGGTAAGAAATGCTAAGGGTTTTATCGAACTTTTGAAACACAACTGAAAGATCCACATACATATGTATTTATTAATATATGTAAGGCTACTTCAAAAAGCTCACAAAAGTATTTTTGAATTCTATGCATAGCTTTTTTATAATACACATTTTCCATGAACTTTTTGATGCCCACTCTTGTCTATATGCTGCTGGTGTCAGAGTAATTTTTTTTGTGGCGGGGGGCAGGGGAGAAAACATCAAAAAATTATTAAACTCTTATGTCTGAGAGGTACTGGAGAAGAGGTAGGAAGGAAGAGAACACAAAAAAAAGGGAAGTCTTAACTTTTTCTTTCAGACTTTTCTTTGAATTTTACAGTAATTTTTCCCTTCCCCTTTTTAATGTCAGTACCAATTAACTGGCCAATGTGCCATTTTAACTTTCTTTGGTAAAAGAACTCCACAAGGTATTTTTTAGTGAGCTAAATCATATAAAAACAAAGACAAATGAACGTTCAAACACAAAACTTTCATGATCAGATTACAAAAATGTATTTAATTTGACAAAACTCTTATTGGTAATGGCACGGTTCAGTTCTGGTCTTTACCAACTTCCTTCATCTGTCTTATATTAATATACAAGTATGCTGGGGCCAGTCTTGTGGTGCAGGGGGTTAAGCCTCTGCTTGAAGCATCAGCATCCCATATAGGAGCACCAGTTCCAGTCCTGGCTGCCCTGCTTCCAATCCAACTTCCTGCTAATGTGCTTGGGAAGGCAGAGGATGGTCTAAGTCCCGGGCCCCTGACACTTACATGGGAGAACAGGATGGAGTCCAGTTTCAGATGGTCCTAGTTTCAGTCTGGCCCAGATCTGGCTCTTGTGGCCATTTGTGGAGTGAGCCAATACAAGATAAATTACAAATGAACTTATGATACTAAAACTAAAGCTACTAGCTGATAATGTTTATATGTTAGTAACAAATACATCAGGGAAATTTTGGTACTCCATATAAAAAGAGAGGAATACATTTCTACTTAGAAATTTGAAAACTAAGAACTAGCTCATTTTTCTTTCTTATCGACTAGATGTTTGCTTTCTCTAACAACAACAACGACAAAAACCTAGTGAAATCATTACTAACTTTTCTTTTCTACTAGAAAGACTGGTATCTGAAACTTTGACCCATTAAAAAGAAAAAAGTAACAGAAAAAGGTATGTGTACACATGAAACTTCAGTATCACCATGGTATAAGGTCCAAAAGAATTAGCGATCACTGATGAATGGAAATTTGCCCGAGTTATAAATTTATTATATCCTTTGACTCCAAAATGATAAAAAATAAGAAATTCAATAAGGACTGAGATGATTTTATGATTCCATATACTATGTATTATTAGAGAAAGAAACAGAGGAAAGAGTTCATGAGAAAGAATATATACTTAATCTTTGTGACCAGGAAAATGACCTACCATTTATTAAACATTATGTGCTAGGCACCCTAAATATATTACTATTTAATCCTCATAATGATATAAAATGAGATTTAAAAAGATAAAGTATGATTTAGAAAATTTACATACCTTACTGAAGATCCTATTACAGAATCCTATTATAGAGGACAGTCATGACCTATTTTAATGCATTCTGATCTGAGCCTAACAAGGATTTCTACCATGCAGCTATAAATGCATCCAGGTGTATTTGTAGGACATTATGTTCCCTTGCTTAGTGTCAAACAGTGGCTCAGTCATATTCCACCTTGATTCGTCTCAGCAGCAATTCTGAAAGGTTCCCTGTGAACAGAGCAGTTCCCAATCTGGAACTCTCTCGGAATGATAAATTCTAGGGTTATTCCAACAATCAAACTTTAGAACAGAAGTCACAGAAAAGTATAATAGAGGAACACAGAACTTGACATATTTGGGTGTTCAGGAAATGACTATTAGTGGCCGAACCACCTTTGAACATGCTTTCTCTCCCAGATCCTCACTGTTGAACTAGCTTAGGACTACCAGAGGGCTTCTACTGCAACTGGTCCATCTCCCTGCTCTATTACAGCTCTAAAGAGAAGCAAACTCCTCTGGACATGGCAGTTAGGGCCTCAGGTAAGCTCCAGGGGAGCAGTCCAAAGGCCATGTGATAAAGGATACCAGCACATATTTAAACAATCATGATACTTTTTGTTTGTGTCCTGATTGAGGTACAGCATGATAGTTAAGAAGATGAAGGAAAATCAGATATACATACAATCTGTATGAACTATATTTGTATAGTAAAAGAGGAATTAAATTAATTCAAGGGTGGAGGGAAATGAGCACTTGGAAGAAGATAAAAGTTATATTTTTTTTAAGCTGTGACACTCAACAGTCATTAACTGTAAAGATATATTATAGAAAGAAAAGAATTGATGAATATAGAAAAGGATAGAAGTTTGGATGGCAGTGAATTTTTCCCAAAGGACAAATCATCTGAAAACAATACTTAAAATAATTACTTCAAGCTTAAAAAAAGAAATGTTATGTTACTATGATTCCATACAGTTCAGTCATTTTATCATCTTCGGTTGAAGAACATTTTCTATTTTTTTGAGCAACCTGTGACTGATTATTCTGATTAATACAGGCATCATAAATATTTCAGATTCTCATCTACCAAACTATCTTAGTTCACTTTTTGACAGGGAAATAAACATTACTTCAACTTATTATGGTGAAGAGTAAATTTGTTTTGGTTTTGGAAGGCATTGAGATTTAGTGATTTTTGCTTTTGAAGTCTAATTAGCCATAGTATATAAAGTGGTTGGTGTTCAAGAGCTTTACACGGTGTGCATGGTAATTTCAAATAGCTGACAAATACATGTCAGAATTTCTTATCTTTCATTAAAATGATCCCCCAAATCCCAATTACAATGTTACTGGTGTATAACAAATGTTAGTATCTCTTTTTAAAATTTGCTCTTACCTGCTCTGTAGCTGTAGGGCAATAGAAGACTAATAAAATAGTTGTACAGATATTTATTGACAGTCCAATGATGGTGATGAGATTTGGGGCAATCCAAGAAGGAACTCTTCCTACTAGCCATTCCCAATACCCTTGCATTAAGGGCTCAAGCAGGGACCGTCCTGCACTCTGATATCTGTGTTCTTCCAGCCGCTTCAATTGGTGTCTTGACAGTGGTGGTGTGGGTAACTGAAATAACTTATTTAATATACATCCTGTAGTACTCATATGCCCAAAGCCCACAGGGGACTCTGGGTGAGAATCTCCACATCGTTTCCTTGTTGACCGATGCCCACTCATGGATCTTGGTTTTCTTTTATTTTGGAGATAGTAATTTATCTTTTTTTTTTTTAAAACAACTTTTATGGCTTGTGTTATCTGGGGAAAAAAAAGAGTACATTTATGAGCCACTTTTCTTTTTCATTAGTATCAGCTTACTAACAGAATAACAAATATCACACTGGAATCAGAAAATGAGGGACTTCATTTTAGTTCTAGCTTATTCAAAGTGTATAACCCCACTCCTAAGTGAAAAAATATTATGGGACTTTAATATGCTTCCTGTTACTTTACAGTTTATATGACTTCAAACATTTTTTTCTGATCTCACACTGCTTTCAATAATGTTACAGAACAAATGTCAGAAACGATCTAAGCATGCCACACAGATGAATTTTGACCTTCCCAGGCTAGCAAATTACTACTAATATTGGAGGAATGACTTGAATGAAATGGGTTTAAAATTAGATTTCTATCTAATGATAAAGCTAACACTCAGCATTTATTTTATATCAGACACTTTAATTACACACACACACACAGACTCATTTAATTCTCACACTGACCCTAGAAACCAGGGGCTATTAATTAGCTCCATCTTTACAGAAAATGAAATTAAGACACAGTGAGACAAATTAACATGCCCAAATCACATGGCTGGTAAATGGTGTTCAAACAAACATACTGTTTCTGTTTAAACTAAATCAAAAGATAAAAGCATATTAGTGAGAAGGGCTACAGATGGAATTCTAAGTGGGGGTAAACTACAGTGAAAAAAATTAACTATAAGAAGACAGTAGCTACGTGTCAGCAGGGTGACATGATGAACTGACAAAGTGCAAATGGTACACTGAGGGATGACTATTAATAAAGGATCTTGAGCTTGTTAATCCCAGAAGTTTTTGGACTTGATTTAGAAAAATGATTAGGAATGATCCAATTACTACAAGTAATTAAGCAGAATAATAAGATAATTACAAGAGTTTTTCCAAGATTAACAGAGTAGCTGCAGATAGTCATTAGAATGGATAAAGTAGTGAGAACAATTAAAAATTAGTACAGTGATTTCAGCTGTTTGAAATGGTGGCCACCACTGGTGAGAGCGGTGGTAAAACAGAAACAGTCAAGTCTAGGAGAAATTTTTATTTAGAAGGAAGAACCAGCATAAAGTGTTGATATGAGAGGAGCAGAAAGGAAAATGAGCCAGCACTGGGGACTAGTAGTACTGCTGTCAACAGGGAAAGCTGGAAAGAAAAATCAGTTCACTATATTTTGTCTTTTGAGATGTGGATGTTAAAGGGCAACTGGGGATGACGGAAGGGAGGGAAGACACACATGCAGTTTTTAAGTACAGATGCTTTAGAGAAAAGCAAAAGACTGGAATTCGAGTAAGAGATGAACATTTGAAGTCATCAAGTTAGAAGCTAATGTCCAGCTAAAGACTAGAATGGTTTTGGAAGTGATTAAATATGGAAAGAAAAAGAATAAAGAATCTTATGGGAAGTCCACAGTAACAGGAGTAAGAGAAATCAAAAGATTACAACAACAATAACAACAAAACAACCATAACAGAATTAAAGAGAACTGGCATTGAACCAGAAAAGGTACGCTTTATTCTTCTAGTTGAAAACTCTACAAAAAGCAATATAAAATTCCCAGAAATGGTATACCATGGGAATACAGAATGTGATATAGGGCCTAGAATATCTTAACAATGGATCTGTTACGAAAATATATCCTGTTGTCCTTATCAAAATTCAGTTTAGTCTGCTTTGGTAGAGTGGTCTTGAGAGTAGCAGGTGGCACCCTGTCCCAGGTGGAGGGCAGGGCCAGTTAAGTCCAGTGGTGAGAGTTGGGGGCATGCAGCTCCTGAAATGTATTGGGTCAGGCTGACACCTGAAAGCAGCTGTTAAGCTGACTGGCACCAGGTCACTGCTGCAGAAACAAGGACCTAGGCCACACAGGTACCTTGGGAGGCAGGGCACAGGGTCACCATGGCCTGGATGGACATTTGGACACAATGTTGGATTACACAGATACCAGGAGTTCTTCCCTGTATCTCCATAAATACATCCCCAAATTTCACTGTCACTAATGACCAAAGGTTGCATGTAAAACCTCTGTCAATTACGTATCTCAACATCTGTTTTAGATGTTGAATCACTGCAGTCATGTTAATTTTCCTAAAAAATTTTTCAAAAATCTCAAAATAATCAGTGTTACAATATAACCAACTCACGTGTTATGAAACAAAAGTATTTAATATTTCAAACCAAGAAAGGAAATCAAAGCTAATTTCTACCATTTCAAATAATTCTTCCACACAGATATACCACAAAGTTCTTGATTAAAACTGTTTTTACACAATGTTAATATAATGTTAAATAACTGGTGACAAGATTATGAGATTAAGACAGATCAAAAAACACCACCAAAACACTTAGCTTCCCAGTGGCCAGATTTTCTATGGCCAAATTGAATGATGCATTTCCATAATTGGGAAGCTACAATCAACTCTTATGGATTTCCACTTAAAATGGGAACAAAGTTTAGTCAACTCCATTTATATTTGATTGTTGCAGTATTCCATTCTCCTACCACTAACAAAAGGAGGTGCTATGTTGAGGGTGTTTGTCGGCTTTTGGCACTAAACAGCTACAAGCAACTGATCTTAATGGTTTTAAGTTTGAGCATTTGGCAGGACTAGTACAAACTGATACTTTCCTTGTGAGTTTTTCCCTACTGTGACCTAGATTCTTTTTTTAACCTTCAATTTCTCTTTTAGAAAAATCTACATTTTGACAAACTTATAGATCTTGTCATTATATAACACATACATGAAAAGAGTCAGTTTTTGAAGGTTTTCTTTGGCAACAGTTCAGTTAGTCAACATTGTCTCCCAAGAGGTTATTAGCAACAACATTGCAAATGTAAATTCAGATACATGTAGCACCTACCACACCATGGTGACTTTATGTTCCCCACATAGCAGGGAACATTTTCCATAAACTTTCTCGAGTTCCCTCATACAAATAGCCATAAAAGTTGCTGTTGCTGACACAAATTCATCTCCACTCTTCTTTTCTCCAATTACATCTAAGACTTGGTGGTTTTTTGCCATGAGAATCATTTCAAAGAGGAACTTCTGAATTTTTAGCAAATGAAAAGCAAGCATACCTCAAGGGAGTAGGATAAGGTTCCTGGGTACAATAGGAAGATTAGCAATGAGAAGAGAAGGGAAAAAGGATGTGAGGTGAAAATATGGAAATGAGATAAAAATATTACGAAAGTTATCTTAGCCACTTGAGTATGAAGTCAGTTCTGTGCCCATAAGTGTGAGCAGAAAATGTCTTTTATCACAGGACAAAAAACTACATTTTAGCAAGCAAAAAATTAAAATTATTGCTAGCTAGTCTAGAAACCTAGCCACCAGTTTTAACAGTTTTTATAAGAAAATGGATTCCAAGTTCCAAATGCATTCAGCCACTGTGATTGTAATAAATACGACACACATGGTCCTAGTTCTTGTGCCCAGAGGAAAAAGAATTATAAACCAGTAAATATGCAAATAACATTACACATTGTGATGGGTGCGATGAGGAAAGCAAAATGCTAAGCTAGAAAATAGGGGTATACATTTTGGATAGGATTGTTGAAGTCTCTGAGAAACTGAGGAAAAGAAGGAGTCAGCAGTTTAGAGAACAGCAGGAAGAATAAAGAAAATGAAGCAAGACCTGAGGCAAGAAACTACTTGTCAAGACAAGAGAGATCTGAGAGATCATTGTGCCTGGGCAGGAGTAAACCAGGTGGAAAAGTTTCAAGAGTAACACAACCCTGTGGTTTAGATTATGACAGAGTTTTTATTCTGATGTGATGGAAAGCCACAAATGGCCTTATAAAGAATGCTGTAAGTTTGGAGCATGGTGCATTTGTTAACTGAGAATACATTTTCATAAATCATAAATGTTAATATATTTTTAAAACATTTATTTATTTGAAAGGCAGAGTTGCAGAGAGAGAGATATCTTCCATTCACTGGTTCACTCCCTAAATGCCCATAACAGCAAGGACCCGGCCAGACAAACCAGGAGCCAGGAACTCCGTTTGGTTCTCCCACATGGGTAGCAGGGACCCAAGTATTTGGGCCATCATCTGCTGCCTTCCCAGGTATATTAGAAGGAAGCTAGACAAGAGATGGAGGTGCCAGTACAGGAAGTGGCACTCTGATATTACAGAGTTGGTGTCCTCAGTGGTGGCCTAATCCACTGTAGCACAACACCCACCTCAGTTAAAATTTTTAAGAAGTATTTATTTTTTTCATTTGAAAGAGAGAGACAGAATGAATGAATATAGCACATGCTTCCATCTAAGGCTGGGGCAGGCTATAAAGCCTAGTACTCAATCCAGGTTTCCCACATGGGAGGCAGGGACTGAACTATTTGAGTCATCACCTGCTGCCTCCCAGGATGCACACTGGCAGGAAGCAGGAATTGGAGGCAGAGTCAGGATTTGAATGCAGTCAAATCCATGATTCCGGATGTAGGCATCACAACAGATTAACCACTCTGCCAAATGCCAATATCAAAGTTAATAGTTAAACTGTAAAAATAATTCCCACCACCTCTAATTCAGTTTATGATAACAATGATCATAATCTGATAGCTACTGTAGCCTTTTCTCTTAGTAAGTAAATTCCTCTCTTCTACTAACCTGGCTCTACTGTACTCTGCTCCCTTCACAACGTTTCATTTACCACTCTTTGAACTGTTTTTTGTTTGTTGACTGTTTTTTGGCGGGGGTTTGTCTTTCTCCACACTTTTCTGTAAGCTTCATGAGTGCAAGGGCCATGCCAGTCTCATTAACATTCTTTTCCCCAAATCCCACACCATACTTAACACTAAGTAGTTAATCAGTACTTACTGAACAATGAACAAATATGATTCATCTAGTATTTAATCAGCATTTAGTTGTTCTAGATCTTGAGGAAAAAGATTGAAATATGTCATTTCATACTCTCAGGAAAACCAAAAGATGGAGGGTAGTCTTGTAAATACCCTCCGATACAATACACTGTCAACAAACTGTTTTGTGAGTCCAAAGAAGACGACATATGGTCTGACAAAGAATTTTCTTTGTGCAGGCATCCACAGTTATGTGAAAAGTCCAGGATAAGTACAAAAATATAATCAGAGGTCATTTCATGAGTACATCTACTAAAATTACACACATGTAGGCTTTAAAAAGTTTATCATATAGAACATCTGCACAATAGCAGCTGAGGATAAGGGAATACTGCTGACTTTATTCCTTCCTGGACTTCAGCACAGGGAATACCTGACAGTATTTCACAAGCTTCACATTAAAAAAAATTAAATAAAGTCCAACTGTCGAACAGAGCATAAGGTAAGTTTACACAACATCCAACCTGCTGTTTCAAATTCCAGAATTCCCATCCCCCCACCCCGTGTCTGAGGGTGCCAAGTTTTGATCTGCACTGATTCAGCACTATGTTTGCAGTCCTTTCACAGGCAACTGGGGACTAAACAGCCCTTATGGCACCGCCAAATGAAAATACTAAAGGCTCACACTATTAGGGAGGCTGAGCAAATTGTAAAGAACCAGGAAGGAAAGGAAGAAAGAAAGAAGGAAAGAAAAAACTAGGGGGATCACAGGATCAAGTGCAGCATTATTTAACAAGTCATATATACAGCAAGTTCCCCCAAACAAAACCCTTTTCAACAGAATTGAAATGCACTGTGTAACACAACGCAGATCTAGAGTTTTGGTGAAATGACATCTTGGCACTCCTTAAAAAAGGAAGTAACAAGTCTCCTCTAAAGAAAATGAGCAAACACTTGTCATTTCTTGAACGGAAGGGTCATGAGGACAAGTTGTACAAGGGGACTTTTAGCTTTCTCAGCACAGAACTAACACGCAGTACAAGGCTTTCACTTCAACTCTGGGCTTCATGGGAACGCGAGTCGTTCTACACTGGTAATCCACTAACTGCCCTTACCACAGTCTAACTTGTGTTTCAAGTCACTCAATTCAAAACACACCGGCTGAACCCATCCCTACTCATCTGAGAGTAGGGGCTAGACCTGCTCTTTGACTACATCCACATAAGAACACTAGTACTTGCAGAAAGACAGCCGTGCACACCCCTTCTTCAGTAAAGTAAAACCACATACCCAACACCAGTGCTGCAAAATGGCCAAAATGACACAAAACTGCCCGGCATCGCATTGAAGGAAACAAGCCAAACACGCCTAAATGTAAAGTCTGGTCCCATTCATCCGGTGTTCCCGGGAACCCTGGCAAACACTTGGAGCAACCCTCCTGTTCTCCTTCCAAGAATCCTGGGCAGCACTGGCTGAAATTTCCAGAAAAGTTGCTGACCACGACGCGAGGCCCCGCCACGCCACATCGGCACCCCTTTCAACGGGAAAACCAACCTGGGAGAGGATGCCACACGGTCTGTGGACTTGGCAGCAGCCGGGCGGGAGGGTGTGGACCCGACAGGCAAGGTCGGCTCCGCGCGGGCAGCGCCCGCAGCCCTCCGCCGCCCAGCGCGGGCCCGCCGCGCTCCTCCTCACCTCGACCTCCGCTCCTCACGGCCGCCCCGGAGGCCCGTGCTCTGCCGCCTCAGTCTCCACCGGGGGCCAGAGGGGCACTCGACCCTCGCCCTCCCCACAACCCCGCGCGCGAGGCCACCCTGTTCGAGGAAGAAGGACGGCGTTCGCCCGCCTCGCGCAAGTCCGTACACAGCTACAGCCTAATGCCCCACCCCAGAGCATCCAGCCCTCGCCACACTCCTCCCTGGAGACGTGTCCCCCACCACGTCCTTCGCTCCCCGGCCGTCCTCCTAACACCGAGCCCCGCAGTCTTACCCCGACCCCCACAAGCACACCCCCAGGAATATCAACTCCGACTTCGCTCCACTGGGTGACTCTGATCCGCGGCAGCACGTTCACGACAGTTTCGCGATAGCCGTAAAGGGAAACTGGCTCGGAGGAAGCGGCGGCGCGGGCGCGTTCCTCAGTGTGGTGAGCGCGCCCAGGGCTGGCCTGGCCGTTCGGGAGCGCGCCCCAGTGCCCCGCCCTGCCCCTTGAGCTCCGGGAAGGCTTCGGAGCCTCCGCCTGTCCTGGCAGGGTCAGCCAGGTAAGGTAGGCTCAGAGGAGGGTGGAAGGAGGAACAGGTCGGGCGCCTGGGGCCCGCGCGCTCGCTCTAGAGGCCACGTCACTGGGTGGCATCCGACGGGTCGGGGAAGTGGGCGCAGCCTGGTGCCCCTCTCGCCGTGGCGCGCGCACGCGGGTTTGCCTGCCTCCAGGGCGACGCGGCTGGGCGCCGCAGAGGGCCCGAGGGGGCTGAAGCGGCTCCCGGGCTCCGGGGCACCCAGGGGCGGGGGAGAGCGCAGGATGTGGTTTGGTGTCCGTTCCGCGGTTTTGTTGTCCTCCTGTGTCGTCCTCCCCACGCTCCGCGTGCCCGAGTTGGTGCCCAAGCTCAGCTCCCGCATCTTTCCCTGGCCCCGGGCAAAGCCGAGCCGAGGTCTTTGCTCCAGTGCTTCACCTTGCTAAATAATTCTTCTGGTTTTGTTTGAGCGGCCCCCCAGAACCTGCGGCTTAGTCCCCCAAAAGTTTAATGATTGAGTGAGCGTCCTGTAGTTACTCCTGGGTTCAGGTACCTTGGTGGTGGGGGCAGGGAGACGTTTGAAATTGAGATCCGCGATGACCTTGTGTTTACTGTAAGCTTAGTCTAGTACGTAGAATTCTGTTGCTGGGAGTAGGCCCAAGAAAGGAAATTGCTATTCCCGAGTGATCTCGCAACGTGCTTTATTTGGAAAACACAGGAAATGCACCATAGCAATAATTTTTTCGGTTTTCCCAAATTTTAATTGGTAAATAATCACCCAAATACAACTGTGATTTGTATTGCATCATGAAATCTCTCCATTTGACATTTGATGTAGCTTATAAAATGATATCTAGACTTCTAGATTAACCATTAGAGAACGGTATATTTGTCACGAGGACAAGTTAGAGTTAAGAAAAATAACCTTTTTTTTTTTTTTCCTGTTATGCTTTGCTTTGGGACGATGCTTCTGTGTCATTCTGAAAGAAGCCTAAGACATTGTGTAAGTTTGGAACATCCAGAATTTCCTTCCTCATTTCAGTCGTTCATCTCTTAACCTTCTGAGGAATGCCTTATTGCATGATTTCGTCACTGTGGGAATATCACAGAGTGTACTTAGGTGAACCTCGACAGTAGGTTCCATCCCTGGATGCAATCCAGAGACTCAGTGAACATAAGATATATGTATACTGTTTGATGCTACAGTTTTTTTCTTTTAAAGACTTATTTGAAAGGTAAATTAACAGAGATCTTCCATCTTCTGGTTCATTCCCCAAATGTCCACAACATCCCAGCTGGGTGAGACTGAACCCTGGAGCCAGGAACTGCATCTTAGTTTCCTGTGTGGGTGGCAGGGACCTAAATACTTGGGCCATCAACTTCTGCCCTCCCAGGCACGTTAGCAGGAAGCTAGATCAGAAGTGGAGGAACCTGGACTTCACTCTGCATTCTTTTTTTTTTTTTTTTTTTTAAGATTTATTTTATTTATTTGAAAGAGTTACAGAGAGAGGTAGAGTCAGAGAGAGAGGTCGTCCATCCGCTGGTTCACTCCCCAATTGGCTGCAATGGTCGGAGCTGTGCCGATCCGAAGCCAGGAGCCAGGAGCTTCCTCTGGGTCTCCCACATGGGTGCAGGGGCCCAAGGACTTGGGCCATCTTCTACTGCTTTCCCAGGCCACGGCAGAGAGCTGGATTGGAAGTGGAGCAGCCGGGACTAGAACGTGCTGGTGCTTTAGGCCAGGGTGTTAACCCGCTGTGCCACAGCGCCAGCCCCTTCACTCTGCATTCTGATATGGGATATGGGCATCCCAAGCTGTGGCTTAACCCTCTGTTCCACCACACCCACTCCTACACTTCTGTGTTTTTCTTAGCAAAAGGAGTACACTCTAAAAATAAGGATAGAAAGAATACTACAGTAGTACATAAGCCAGTAACATGGCCATTTGTTATTGTAATATATTGTGTATTGCACATAATTGTGTTTCTGTTCTTTATTGTACTACTGGCAGCACAGTAGGTTTGTTTACACAAGCATTGCCACAGACTTGTGAGTATTGTGTTGTGCTAGGACATTGTGATGGCTGCAACATCGCTAGGTGATAGGGAATTTTTCAGTTCATTGTAATCCATGGGAGTACTGTTTATATTCAGGTGTGAGCTGTTATTGACGGAAATGTCATTGTGCTATGCCTATTTCTTAGCAGTCACTGCTTGGGGAGACAGTTTAGTGGCATTCAGATATCTATGAAAAAATTTATAACTGCAGCTTTCATTCCTGGAACTTCAAAGAAAGCAGGGAAGATAGGTGAGATGCAAGACTTTTTTTTTTTTTATCTCTTACTGCTGTAGGAAGTTTATTCTTGCATATTTTTCAGGTATTTTAGAAAGTTTCTTAAATTATTAACCATTAAAATTCTGCTGGGTTGGCAATTACACAGCCATGCTTTCAGCTTTCTAAGTTGCCAGTCTATGGGCAGTTAATTAGTTATTTTCCTCACTTAGGTCATGCACTTTTCTTAATTGTTGTTGTCAAATTTCAAGCCCTGCTTCTCTTCTGAATTGTCGGTATAAACAATTGGAACCTTCACAGCCTAAGGAAATGTGAATCTAATGTAGTTTACACCTAGAAAGAATTCATACATAGCAGTCCTGTCCCATACCCATGGCTAGTGAAATTACTGGACAGAATTAATAAACAGGCTATCGCTAGCACTGTAATGTGCTTATGTTCCATTCTGTTCTACCCTCTTTTGAGAGTCTGACTATTTTACAAGTCAGAACGCTGTAACTTAGAAGCTAAGTGACTTGCCTGAAATCATATTTGTACAGCTGGGAAGTGGTAAAGCTAGGGTTTGCACTTAGCTGAACCTGATCTCATAGTTGTGTTCTTTCCATTACATCACATGGAAGTTAATGCCTTATTTTGCTTAAAAATAAAAAATAAGCTATCATTCTTTCCTCATTTTTGTGTCTTTCTATTGAGGAAACCAGGAGTTTTTCCTTTTATTTGTTCTTTTTGAGGCCATGAAAGCTGTCATATGTGAGAAAGGACAATAATCATGTAATTTCAGATGATATAAAACATTGAAAAAAAACCAGGTACTAATTCTTTAAAGAAAAATCACCTGTTAATCATGCTATTGCTTAGTGTTCTGCTCATGGACAATACTGGTATGCTGATTTGAAATTGATACTTAAAATCATAGATTGAAACTACCTCTTATTATCTTTGTGTGTGGATTTCAGGATTTATAAAAGACACAGGTTTGGACGGTTCTGAAGATTGAAATTCTTTGCATTTCTACAACAGGTAATTCATTCTTTACATTCTAAAAGAGAACAAATATTTACTGACCACTATGATACTACCTTACATATATTATTTCATGTACTCCCTGAATAAACCTCTGTAAAGCAGGTATTATTTTAGTTGGTTTGACAGAGAATTCTAGAAGCTACTATTTATTTTTTTATTTTTTTTGACAGGCAGAGTTAGAGAGAGAGAGAGAGACAGAGAGAAAGGTCTTCCTTTTCTATTGGTTCACCCCCCAAATGGCCACTATGGCCAGCACGCTGTGCCTGTCTGAAGCCAGGAGCCAGGTGCTTCCTCCTGGTCTCCGACCCAAGCACTTGGGCCATCCTCCACTTCCTTCCCGGACCACAGTAGAGAGCTGGACTGGAAGAGGAGCAACTGGGACAGAATCCGGTGCCCCAACTGGGACTAGAACCCAGGGTGCTGACGCCACAGGTGGAGGATTAGCCAAGTGAGCCACGGTGCGGGCCTACAATTTGTTTTGCATCAGCGGTGTGTCAGGGTCTTTGCCTGTGCTATCAGTTCTACCCGTGCAATAACTCTCTAGCACAAGTCAATGGAACTTCTCCACAATTAGGAAATGTCCAGTATTATTACTGCCTCCTAGACACCTATGGCTTTAGACATTTGAAATGTGACTGATATGATTGAGAAACTGAACATTTTAATTATTTAGTTTTAATCAATTGAAATTTTAATGTGGATGGCTTCATGTTGCTGGTGGCTGCTGTTATGGACAATGTGGCCTGTACTGATAATATTATTCCCATTTTTCAAAGGAGAGACTGGTTCAGAGCAGTTTTGAAGCTTGCCTAAGGTCACATGATTTTATTTAAAAAGTTTTGAGGAGAATTCTTTAGGAGTGATAACTTGGCAAGGGAGTTAGAATGGATGAAGGGGTAGGAAAAAAAAAAAACAACAGGTAGGCCTAGAGAATTGAGGATCTGAATCAAGTGCTTACTGTGTGAACTGGGAGGAAGGGTGTTTACAAATGACGTAGAGAAGTAGAATGGCCATCACTTAATGACAGTGCCTGAGAACTTCGAAGGAGAAAATGAACCCAAAGTTATTCTGAGGTCTTCGTATCTGGTTAACCTGGAAAAATGTGATAGTGCTGCTCACTGAAATAGAAAAGACTGTATTTGGTTGTTCATTCAACACATCCTGAGCAAGTATGAGATTTAGGGTTCTGTGCTCTGCTTGGTAGACAAGTGGAATCCTTTAACAAGTGTTTTAGTCACTTAAGCCGCCCTCCTAAATTTTCATATTGTACAAGATAATAAACTAACAGATGTGCAAATCAAGTATTGTGAGAGGAAGGGGTGTCTGTTTCCAGACACAAAGGGATTAGGGAAGGTTATATATGGAAGACAGAATTTGAGCACAGTTTTGAAAAATAGGGTGGATTTAGACATGAAAAAACAGTAAAAGTGGGAGCAGGTTATATTTTTAGCAATGGGGTGGACAAAATATTTTGAAAAATCACTTTACCCAAAGCACCTGAATGCTAAATAAATTTCATTATCCTTTAAAATTCTTAACAGATCTCTGTGGAAAAGAAACAGAGATTCCCCATGGCTAAAATGTCAGAGACAACTGAAACCAGACAAGTCTCTTGTGAGGGTATCTGGCTGAGAGCGGAATAAAGTATGACTGGGAATAGGCGCTAGGCTCCCCCTGCTCCCTCTGCACGGTGGAGAAAAAGCATTACTCCTGTGACCTCCCAAATACGCAACTCCAGCAGGCCCCATTCACGTGGCAGTTTGTGTAAATGGTGCCTGTGTTTCACTAGCTGACATTTTCACAGAATAAAATGTAAAAATTTCCTCTTACAGTTGTACAATTTGTGGCCTTGGAGAACTGCCTCCCCACAAATTTACCCAGGTTCCTCAAAAGTCTGCACATTCAGTAAAGGGTGGGCCAGAAAAATGTCTCCCACCTGGCTAAAAGCGATCACAAAGGAATTTATTCATTTTCCCATCACTCCAGATGGGAGAGTAAAAACACCACTTGAAAACTTGTAACTCTAAGGTTTGCTACCACTCAGGTTCAAGGTCCAAATTTATGTATTTATGTAATATAAAACCTAGAAGCCAAGAAATTCATGTAAACTTGGTAATGTGCCAGAGTGCCTGCCAAAAATAAACATAGACCCCCTCTGGGATGATTTTGCCTTAGTTTAAGCCTCGTAGAGAATTCCCAGAAGAAAATGATCCACTTACAAACTCACAGTTGAGAACTATGAAATACATATGGGAGGGTCAGTCATACCAACAAATAATGGAATTAGGATTTTAGATAGGAATTGTCAGAAATATAGATGAATATTTAAGGACATAAAAGAAAAAACCTAAAGATCTTGACATAATTCAAAATATATATAAATTGAGAATTATTGTCCTAGAAACCTGTGTAGGAGAAAATACCTATAGAATCTTAGCAAGGAATTGTCAGGTTAACTAAGTAGATGAATAAAAAAAATGTTGATGGGATGTTAAGGCCCACAAGGGAAAACATTCAGAAATGAGTTAATGATAATGTGGGTAGGAAATTACCCAAATCAAGCCTACAATGATGACTTTAGGGGCAAAGGAAAAGAATCTTATTTAGCAACATGTAAGTAATGTATGAATTTAGCAACAAGTCAGATGTGTGGAGCAAGTGACAAATACAAGTGAAAATCGCTGAGATTTCATTATTTAGGTCAGTCTGAAAAGAGGAAGCTGAGTATAGTGGAAGATTGTAGAGAATGAGAGCTGTAAGTATATTCACAAAGTTAATTGGAAGTACTGAATTTTTTACGTGCTCAAGCTATGAGAACATACTTCTAAACATGAAATTGTTCTAACATGCGTAGGAGTAGTTTCTTTGAATTTGAAAGTATTTCTATATTTTTAGAAATAAAATTTAAAAAAGTAAATGTAAAGAGAACAGATTTCATATATTTTGTAGGTATAATTCTGAGAAGATATTATAACTTCTCTCCTTCCCTCTGTCCTTCCCTCAAACCCTCTCCTTCCTTCCTTCCTTCCTTCCTTTTTTTTCTTTAATTTTTGCGAAAACATAAGTTTCAGTCCACTCTATAATCACAGGCTTAATGTACCACTAGCCTTAATATTCAACAAGTAAAAAGTAGAAAGGGCTAAAAACAGCAATCAAACCACAAGATGTCTGTTTCATTCCTATACTTTTTTTTTTTTTTTGTATTTTGCATTAATTGCCACATATCAGAGAAAGCATGGTGTTTGTCTTTTTGGGACTGGCTTATTTCACTAGCATGATGGTTTCCAATTGCATCCATTCTATTGCAGAACACAGCATTAACAACATCCTTAGTCTAGAGGTTGAGGAAGAACGTGGTGATGAGTGGTGTGTATGTATTTAGGCCCTCTCTTTTTTTCTTCTTTCATGTAGGAGCTGCAAGTATAATGGTGAACAAAATAATTATTTCCTGCTTTCACAGAACTTAAAAGTTCAGCGAGGAAGATAAAGCCAAACAAGGAAGTAACAGTTAAGTGTAAGGAATGTCCTGGCTGGGGAGGTGGACGACAGCTGGAAACAAAGCAGGGCCACCTGGCTGAAGCTGGGAGCATTGGGGCGTAAAAACCTGCACAGGTTCCCTGGGTAGGTTGTAGGTGGGGGGAGTGAGCATTGTGACGTCCTCATCCAGATGGAGACAGCAAAGTACGTGTGGGCCTGAATGTCTACCAGAGAGCCTGACTCATTCCAGGAGCTTCAAGAATGTTGCTATGGTACCATATAGCGTAGTGATTTGGTGTTAGAATCACATTGAATTTGAATCTCCCACCACCTCCCAGCCCCTGTGGTTTGCTAGCATTTCTCTTGACCTGTAATTCTCTTGAAGGGAATAAATGAGGTCATGTATTTAAGGTATTTCATAACATTAGTAAGATGTAATAAACACTTTTGTAATGATGACAAAGGTGATGATAGCTAGAGCAAGGAATTGGGAATAAACAGTAGCTATACGAGATGTATAGAGATAAGTAGAGATCATATGTAAAGGACCTTGTAGATCAATGTTAAGAGGAAAGACAGTTTATAAGAGCTTAGGGGAACCACTGAAAGATTCTTTGTAGGACAATAAAGTGACCGTAGTGGTGTTTTAGAATTAAAAGTATCACCCTGATTTTAGGTTGTGGTCTAGATTAATTGTGGTCAGGACTGGAGTAGGATTGAGTAATATAGCAAAAACCAAAATGTTTTTCCTGTTCTCTCACTCAACGGTCAATAAAAAATATTTCTGTGGTCACCAAGAAGTATTTGGGGATTTTCCTCCACCAGTAACCAATTAGTTCTGCAGCAGACACCAATTGGCTATTCCCTAATTCATTCCCTACAATATCCACCCGAGGGTAGTCTCAGATCCCGCAGGTTGAAGGTTCTGCCACACAAGGCTGCCTCCATCTTCTGATGCCAATCAAAAAGCCCAAGTCATTTTATCTGTGTTTATGATCAACTGGCTATAAATGGTGCTTATCATGATCCCTTCCTTGGGTTCCATTAATTTGCTGGAATAGCTCACAGAACTCAGAGAAGCACATTTAATGGTATCATAAATGATATCACAAAGATTACAGGTAGGAGTGAGTGTATGCACAGTGGTTAAGATGCTGCTTGAGACACCTGCATCCCATGTCACAGTGCCTGGGTTTGAGTCCACCTTGCTTCTGATCTGGCTTCTTGCTAGTGTACAATTTTCAAGGAAGTACACAAATATATGAGTTCCTGCCACCTATGGGGGAGACCCAGATGGAGTCCTGGGCTCCTGGTTTCAGGTTGGCCCAGCTCTGGCTGTTGCAGCCATTTGGGGAATGAAGCAGCAGATGGAAGATATCCTCCCACCCTCTCCCATCATTCTGCCTTTCAAGTTAAAAGAAAAAATAAAAAGAACACAGGTAAAGATGCATCAGGCAAGGAATGTGGAAAGGGGTGCACACTGCCCACTGCTCAGCTTTCTGGAAGCTCTCTGAACTCAGTCTTTTGGGGTTTTTATGGAAGCTTTATTACATAGGCATGATTAACACCGTAGTCTGTTATGATCAGCTTAACCTCAGTCCCTCTGCTCACGCTAGAGACTGGGGAGTGGAGCTGAAAGTCCATACCCCTTTATCATCCTGTCACCAGTCACCATCCTGAAGCTACTTAATGGCTGCCAGCTCCAGATTTCTGATTAAAATATACAAGACATTAATGACTCCTGATTCCAAAGATTTTAGGAGCTTTTTGCCAAGAAACAGAAGACCAAATATAGATGGTTGTCTGTGTTTGTGAGTTCTGCATCTCTGGGTTCAACAGATTGAAAATACACAGAAAAAAACTGTCTGTATTGAACATGTATGGACTTATTTTTATGTCATTTTCCCTAAACAATCCAGTCCAACAACCGTTTTCACAGTATTTACATTGTATGAGGTATTATAAGTCATTTAGAGGTTTGAAGTATACAGGAGGATATATGTAGGATATATGCAAATATAATGCTATTTTATTTGTATAAAGCACTTGAGCATTGGTGATTTTGGTGCCCATGGGATGATCCTGGGACCAGTCCTCCAAAAGATACCAGGGATAGCTGTGTATATTTAATATACCACTACCACCGTTAAGGGAATCATGACAGTAATTTGGCCAAGTGATGATGGTTTAGGTAGAGTACTGGCAGTGAAGATGGAGAGAGGGTGTAGATGTGAAAGAAATGAGAACAGGACCTGGTACTTGACAGTTGGGACAGAAACTAAGTTTCTGCCTATGGCAATTGGGTGAATCTTGGTTCTGTTTACTGAGATTGTGAAGAGCAAGTATCGGGCTGGTGTGGGAGATGTCAGAAGTTGAACAGCTCAGGGTACTAAGTACAAGAGCATGGAAATGATGGGCAAAGTAAAATCAAGGGGACCCTTGTGAATTATCTTTTCTATTTTGTGTTTTTGACTTCAGAAGACCTGTTTGAAATGTGGTGGTTTCAGCAAGGCCTCAGTTTCCTCCCTTCGGCCCTTGTAATTTGGACATCTGCTGCTTTCATATTTTCATACATTACTGCAGTAACACTCCACCATGTTGACCCTGCTTTGCCTTATATCAGGTCAGTAAGATGAAGTGTTTCCATAGGAGTATGTCTTTCATTTTTAACATTGAAGCCAACATTTGCAATCAGTATTTTAAAATTCAGATTTTTTACATTGGCGTTACAACAATAAAATGACTGTAAAAAGGAACTTGTATTTGGCTCTGTGTGATAGATAGCAGGGTAAGATATAGTGAATTGATTATTGAATTGTGACCCCTTAGTGCCTAGTCTTCCAGACAAGTTTTGGAGGTTCCCTAGAAGATACAATTGGAATTATTTTCCCCTTAAAATTAAAGCATGCTGCAAGCATCAATAATAAAATGAGAAGGTAGTAGTAATTATAAGCATTTATTGACTTATTTACTATGTGTAAGGTAATATTCTAGCATTCTTTTTTTTTAAAGACTTATTTATTTATTTGAAAGTCAGCGTTACACAGAAAGAGAAAGAGAGGCAGAGAGAGAGAGAGAGAGAGAGAGGTCTTCCATCCACTGGTTCACTCCCCAATTGGCCACAAAAACTGGAGCTGCGCCAATCCGGAGCCAGGATCCAGGAGCTTCCTCTGAGTCTTCCCACGTGGGTGCAGGGTCGCAAGGACTTGGGCCATCTTCCACTGCTTTCCCAGGCCATAGCAGTGGAAGTGGGGCAACCGGGTCTTGAACTGCGCCCATGTGGGATGCCAGCACTGCAGGAGGTGGCTTTACTTGCTATGCCACAGTGCTGGCCCCTAGCCTTCTTTATGTCTTAAATAATTGCAGTTTTATAACAATCAAAAGAGGTGGGAACTGTTACACTCTTTTGAGAGTGGGCAGAATGAGAACCTGGGTATTTTGTTTGCTCAAGAGCACACAACTCGGAAAATGTTGGAAGCAAATTCAAATCTAGGGGCTATGTTCTTATTCTTTATGACATGCCACGTAGATTTCTTGACAAATTAAGTATTGAAATTTACTGGGGACTGGCATTGTGGCGTAGCAGGTTAAGCCACCACCTGCAGTGCCAGCATCCCATATGGGTGCCAGTTCAAGTCCTATCTGCTCTACTTCCAACCTAGCTCCTGGCTAATGGCCTGGGAAAAGCAGCAGAAGATGGTCCAAGTGCTCGGGCCCCTGCTATCCACATGGGAGACCTGGAAGAAGCTCCTGCTTCCTGGCTTTGGCCTGGCCTACTGTTGGCATTTGCTGTCATCTGGGGAGTGAACCAGCAGATGGAAGATCTCTCTTTCTCTGTAACTCTGACTTTTAAATAAAAAATAATTCTTTAAAAAAAAAGTGGAAAATCTAGGCACTGCCATCTACGTTTGATATGACTGAGTGGTATGGTGTGGCCAAAGGGGTGACCAAGTTGGGAGCATTGTGGGAGGACATACAAAACTCAAAAATGCCTCAGAATTTAAGGTTCTGATTCTAGGAATATGTTGATAAATAGTCACCATTGTGCTAGAGGAACATGTACCTTAAAGAGCGGTACTGTTTGACCCATGTGAAATCACATATTTAATATTTTGAGTTCTTCAGTATTTTTATTTTCCCTTCTGAGAACTTGTTTTTACCCACTTTAAAGAGCTTTAAATAACTTAGGCCATTGAGTTCTTTTTTAGAGTCCCAGTTCTCTGATGGTAGTGTGTGTGATTTCCTAGGCACTTCCTCTCCCTCTCCTTCTGCTTTTTTATCTTTCTGCTAAGGAACTTAGTATTGTCTTGAGAATTTTATTTAACATTGTAAGATATTTCAACTCTAGTTCTTATTTTTTGGTTTTCATAGTTTCATTTCTTTCATCTGCAAAGTGATTAACTTCAGTTAGATACTCTGCAAAATTCCATTCAGTTTGTAGTCCCTATCCAGAAGATTTGGTTGTTATAACCCCAGAGAACACAACCAAATGCAAATCTCACTCCAAAGGCAATTTTGCTGCAAGTGCATTTGAGGTGTTCAGTGCAGAATGAGTTCTGGACCTGGCCAGCCTTAAACGTTGCAGGCATTTGGGAGTGAGCCAGCAGATGAAAGGCCTTTCTTTGTCTCTGTCTCTTTGCCTTTCAAATAAAAAACCAATCAACCAACCAAAAACCTGGTCTTGAATATAAACTCTGTGAAGGCAGCATCTTTGTTTTATTTTACACTGTATTCATCTCTTTGAAGTGGTGTCTTGCACATGTTAAGCCCTTGATAAATATTTTTTTGGTTGACCAATAAATGAATGAGTATTAATTCACTTTATATGAGAAGCTAATTTGTGCGGAAAGAGTGTCAAAAGGCCTGTGATGTTTAGGGAGTATTCTGATGAGACAGACGTATCTTTGAGATTGATGGTAAGTCAATAACAGAGTCCTCACGTGCTCAAGGATAGCTGCTGCTGCTGCTGCTGTTTTTTTTTTTTTTTAAAGATTTATTTATTTATTTGAAAGGCAGAGTTGACAGAGAAGCAGAGGCAGAGAAAGGTCTTCCATCCACTGATTCACTCCCCAAATGGCTGCAATGGTTGGAGCTGGGCCAATCTGAAGTGAGGATCCTGGAGCTTCTTCTGGGTCTCCCACATGGGTGCAGGGGCCCAAGGACTTGGGCCATCCTCTACTGCTTTCCCAGGCCATAGCAGAGAGCTGAATTGGAAGTGGAGTGGCCAGGACTTGAACTGGTGCCCATAGGGGATGCTGGCACTCCAGGCGGTGGCTTCACTTGCTACACCACCACGTCTGCCCCCAAGGATAGCCTCTTAAAACATCAATTTATTTAGGTCTGCATTGTGGCACACTGGGTTAAGCTGCTATTTGGGATGCACATGTCCTATATCTGGGTGCTTGGAATCCAGTGCTACCTCCACTTCTGATCTATCTCTGAGCTAATATGCTTGGGAAGCAGCAGATGATAGTTCAAGTACTTGGGTTCCTGCCACCCATGTGGGAGATCCAAATGAAATTTCTTGTTCCTGACTTCTGCCTGGCCCATCCGCTAGCTGTTGTAGGCATTTGGAGAATGAACCAGCAGGTGGAACATCTCTCTCTCTCTCTTTTCTATCACTCTGCCTTTCAAATAAATAAATAAATAAAACTTTATAGAAATACATTTATGTAGATTTCTATTATGTAGAAAAGAAGTAATCTTAAATGATGCGACAAAAAAGTGAAACAGATGGGTATTTGTAGCTTTAGTTGCCATGTTCTCTTTATAAAATGATGTGAAAGCTGAACTCCTGGACTTAGAAAGCTAATGGATTTGAAGTAATTGTTGTTACTTCTTATCCCTTAGAAGAAATATTTATGTGTATCTAGTGTAAGAAACCCATATGTCTTCTTGTTTTCTTTCAGTGACACTGGTACAGTAGCTCCAGAAAAATGCTTGTTTGGGGCAATGCTAAATGTTGCTGCAGTTTTATGTAAGTAATAACAATCAAAATTAATATTAATTCCTATTTGTTAAACAATATTGTGTTACTTATTTTCTTATTATACTTGATATGATGTCACTAAATTATTGATCACAATTGTGCTTCTAAAAGAAAAACACTGTTCTAGAAAAGCTAAATTATGGAAATAAACCTTTAAATAATGCCTATAGGGCTACGTGACTACCCATCCAAATAGAAGTTGTAAGTATAACCAAATTGTCCTTGAGCCTTTAAGTGAACTTCTTCAGCAACCAGTAGGGGACAAAGAGCCATAGACACAACTGACTTCTACTAACCTCAACTAAATTCCTTTAGTATGAGCATCTAGAAGTTTGAGAATAGAGGCAAAACCATGTTTTGATTTTTGAGTAACATTGTAATGCCAAAAGAATGGGGCCATTACCACAGTATTTTACATTCCTGATAATTTATTTTTGAGCTAAATTTTTATTAATGGTTTATTGTAAAATACTGTGATTATTTTAAATAGTTGTGTTCTTTCATGTGATACTTGTCTACAGTAAAAGTAGAAGTCAGGAAAATGATTCAATGGAAAGAAATTTTTCTTCAGAAACACATCCACAAAGTCTCAACTCTGTTATATTTTCCACACTCCTGAGCTCTTGGGCAATATTTCTGCAATAGCAAGTGTAACTTGGCCCTTTCTTGGAAAATACATATGGCAAAAGTGAGCTCTTTTTTCCTTTGTAGGATTGATGAACTGATGGAACCAAGTTATGGTCATTTGGAGTAAAGTGATGTCAGAGTGAGGCATATAAGTGTTTAGATTTTTCTTTTTTTTTTTTTTGTCTATATTCATTTTATCCATATTCTAGAACTAGTTACTTTTGAATTGGATACTAATCATTAAAGTATTTTTTGTTTTATTTGACTCAATTGAGATTTTTAGAAGGCATCAAACTTATCTATTATGTTTTATTCTAAATATTTGTAGATGAGACTTGTGGAAGTCAAGTGGTTTGCTCAGTCACACAGATACCAGTAGTTGTGTGAGGAAACATTAAAAATTCTTAAAAATAGACAGCTTTTTTTTTTTCTTCTCTCAGATTAAAGGGAAAATCTGTACTCTGGATAGCAATGACCTTTGTAAACTCTCCATTGGCAACTTTATTCCCTGGTTATTTATTACTTTGTTGTTTCTTGGATATCTCTTCCCAGGCATTGCTACCATTTATGTTCGTTATAAGCAAGTTCATGCTCTGAATCCTGACGAGAACCTTATCATCAAATTAAACAAGGCTGGCCTTGTGCTTGGAATACTGAGTTGTTTGGGACTTTCCCTTGTGGCAAATTTCCAGGTTTGTGTTTTAGTCCAGCCTAGGTATTTTCCTGAAATACGTAAGTATAAGTGTTAAAAAGGAAAGCTGAAAAATTCAGATGTACGCTGTTATTGTTTCTTTACCTAATGAAAGTATAATCTACTGCCTTTAAATTACTTGATCCTCTCAGAAATATCTACATTCATGTTAGAAAAATTTATATTCAATAATCTGAATAAATATAAATTATTCTAACTTTTTATTGGTTCCACAGGACAATTGTTAGACTCTTTATTACTACTTAGGTGGAGATTGCATCAAGACCAGACAGAGAGTTGATATAAATAAGTGACACAATTGTGGATTTAAATGTTAGTTGTTTTGCTTTGTATTTAATATGTCTTGCAAGTTGAAATCATTTATCTATTACCTATTTTTATTTACTTGTTTGGTTGTTGCCACTGATTGCCTGCATTCCTAGGTGTCCACCCTGAATAAGAGGAAATACAGGAAGGATCTGTAGCTCTTCTGCTTTTGTTCATGTAATTCTTAATGTTAAAGTAGCACCTTTACCAAATACTGTGCACTCTCTGTTCTTCCCATTGACAGTCTTTCTGATGTGTCTTTGGTAATATTGGTTGCATCCTGCCTCTGTAATGCTTTTTCATTAATATCTCTGTGGTCTTTAAAATCTCAGTTTAGATATTTGATAACCTAGTTGGACATATGGTAACAATTCAGTACCCACGCTCATCATACAAATATATATTTATAGGCATATTCTGTCTCATTTAACATTCTCCTTTCCTATACTGCTTCTGATTGGTCTCTCCTGTTTTCATAGCTTTTTAGTAATGATTAATATCAGTAATATCGATACATATAATTCAATGCTAGCTGCTATAACAAATCCCATATTTTTAGCAGTTTAAAATGGCAGAGGTTTATTCCTTACATATAATATGCATCTCATGCAGGTGTTTTAGGTTGGCAGGTAGCTTTTCTCCAATTGTGATTTAAAGGCCAGACTCTACTGCATCTACCTGGCTGAAACAGTAAACGAGAACATGCGAAAGTCACACTTACTTCTTAAAAACCTTGACCTGTGCTAAAGAAAAAATCATTCAGTGACACTAAGGAGTGGTTCAGGCAGACTTTACTGAGGATCATTATGAAAGGTGAAGGGACCACTGCAATGGAGTTTTGCAGTAAGGGAGAGAGATTGGGCTCTACTCCAAATATAAGGAAAGATAGGAATTTATAGCCAAGGAGCAAGATAAGATCGGGATCAGTGATGGGAAATTACATGGCGGGTGAAGAGGGATTCTGGCTAACTCAACATGCCTAACAAGATTCTTGTGGAAGTAGACCAGAGCGATCAGGTATCACCGAGCCATGGTGGACATTTAGAATCTCAATGAGGGTGATCATATAATTGATAGGGTATTCTGGTTAAACTGATTTAGCAGTATTCTTGCTAAAATTGAACAATGCAAAGATGAATATAGAAGTCCAAAAGTTAGGATCTACTTGAGAAGAGAGTTCAGAGGAGCCTGCATAGTGTGGCCAAGGAAAGATTCTGTCGCCTAGAAGAGACTCATCTTGTTTCACTGACACTCGTTTGCTGGGCACAAGGGAAGTGGGAGGGTGGTATAGCTTGAAAATGTAGCTTTGCTCAGCATTAGTTCAAAACTATATTATAAAAGGGGGCAAAAGTCCTGGTGACAGTTGGCTAGCTGTCTATGACATAAATAAGATCCTATTTTCCCAAATTGGTCTATACCTCAGTATTGAAACATGTTTTGGGGAATTCTTAGGGTATGGCTAGTAATTCCTTGCTCCAGTTGTCTGCTGATTAGGTAGGTTAATAGATCTTTCATCACCTGGCTGTATAGAGAAAATTAATTTCAAATACTTGTTTACACAGGCCTGTAAGTTCTAATGGCAGTTCCCAATAGTGCCCATAGAAACTGCCTGTCTCCTTTATCGTATTCACCCATCAAAGTAGCTTAAATACTTTGTTACTTTCTGATTTATCTTTGCTTATAGGAATTCCCTTGACCTTGTGATTTTGAATGAGATTATTTTTTTCTGTCTTGATTGCATCTCTTTCTGAAACTTTAGTCCTGTTAAATGTCTTTCTCATCTTTCACTGATGACTTCATTGCCCAGCTCCTTTTATAAGAAGACCCTGTAACATTACCCAAATATCAAACTGCTCCCCTCCCTCCCTCCCTCCCTCCTTCCCTCCCTCCCTCCCTCCCTCCCTCCCTCCCTCCTTCCCTCCTCCCCTCCTTCCCTCCTCCCCTCCTCCCCTCCTCCCCTCCTCTCTTCTCTTCTCTTCTCTTCTCTTCTCTTCTCTTCTCTTCTCTTCTCTTCTCTTCTCTTCTCTTCTCTTCTCTTCTCTTCTCTTCTCTTCTCTTCTCTTCTCTTCTCTTCTCTTCTCTTCTCTTCTCTTCTCATCTCATCTCATCTCATCTCATCTCATCTTTATTTTATTTATTTTAAAGCCAGAGTAACAGGTAGGGAGAGGCAGAGAGAGAAAGTGCTCTTCCATCTGTTGGTTTACTCCCCAAATGGCTACAGTGGCTGGGGCTGGGCTAGGCAGAAGCCAGCAACCAGGAATTCCATCCTGGTCTCCTGTGTGGGTAGCAGAGGCCCAAATATTTGAGCCATGTTCTGCTGCTTTCCCATGTGCTTTAGCAGGCAGCTGGATCAGAAGCAGAGTAGCCAGGACTCCAGTTGGTACTCTCATATGGGATGATGGGGTTTAACCTGCTACACCACAATGCAGGCCCCTCTCCTTCATTCCTAATATAAAGTTTTAATCTTATTTAAAATGATGAATGCATTGCATTCTCATTCTCTCTCTCTTTTGCAGAGATAGATACTAGTTGACTTATCCAGAATGAATTATGTACAAACAAGGTCTTTGAATGATTTGCAGACAGGTTGTGGCTTAGAAGATAGACTAGCAGTGGGTTTTTAAAAATTTTATTTATATATACAAATTTTATGTATTTCATATATACAGATTCAGGAACATAGTGATACTTTCTACCCTACCCTCCCTCCAGCCCGCACTCCCACCCTTCTTCCTCATCCCTTTTCTATTCTCATTCTTATCTTCTACACAGATCTATTTTCAGTTAACTTTATACTCATAAGATTAACCCTACAGTAAGTAAAGAGCTCAACAAATAGTAGTGAAGAAAAAACAAACAAACAAAAAACCACTGTTCTTCTCAACAGTCCAGACAAGGGCTGTTAAAAATCATCACATCTCGGCTGGCGCCTTGGCTCAGTAGGCTAATCTTCCACCTAGCGGCGCCGGCACACTGGGTTCTAGTCCCAGTCAGGGCACCAGATTCTGTCCTGGTTGCCACTCTTCCAGGCCAGCTCTCTGCTGTGGCCAGGGAGTGCAGTGGAGGATGGCCCAAGTGCTTGGGCCCTGCACCCCATGGGAGACCAGGAGAAGCACCTGGCTCCTGCCTTCTGATCAGCGCGGTGCGCCGGCTGCGGTACGCTGGCCGCAGCGGCCATTGGAGGGTGAACCAACGGCAAAAGGAAGACCTTTCTCTCTGTCTCTCTCTCTCTCTGTCCACTCTGCCTGTCCAAAAAAAAAAAAAAAAAAAAAAATCATCACATCTCAAAAGTGTCAATTTCACTCTTACAGATTACCTTTTAGGTACTTTGTTAGTTACCACAGATCAGAGAGAAAATGTGGTATTTATCTTTTTGGGATTGGCTTATTTCACTAAGTATAATAGTTTCCAGTTGCATCCATTTTGTTGCTAATAACAGGATTTCATTTTATTTTGCTGCCATTAAACTTGTGTGAAAATAGATAAAATCAAGAGAGGAAGATATAATTTGAAAACTACCAGCTGTTGAATTAACTCAAAGATCTTTTATGACTTGAATCTGTTTACCTCTCCAGTCTTATTCTGCATCATTGCTGGATCATTGCCCCTCTTAATGTCTCCATTGTAGTTAACACTGGACTTTGTGTTCCTTAAATAAGACAGGCTTTTTAACTCTATTTCATTTACTGTATTCTCTTTGGGGCATACCACAAACCACAAACCTGAATTAGGCTTCTGAAGATATCACTGTGGACCGTACTTCCTCAGGGAAGTCTTTTCTGTCATCTCTTTCCTCAATATTTATATTTAAAATTCTTTTGTTTCATTTTGTTTTCTGATGCTTCTGAAAGCTGATTCTTCATAGCTGTATTACACTCTGATTTTATATCAATGATTTAAAATAATTCAAAAAATTTTAAGGTGATATCTTTTTCTGTTGATTATAAGCACAATGGTTTTGTTCACCATTGTATTTCCAGCACCTAGATTAGTACTCAGTGAGAACATGCTCTCTTTTATTATTTAGGAACTTGAGAGAGACCAAAGGGACTAAGCAGAATGGAAAAAATGCTTTTATTGCTGTTCTTGCTTGCATTTAAAAGAGATGCCTAATTGCTTTAATATTTGAAAAATCTTACTTACAAGTATAAATCGAATTTCTTTGATATCAATTGTGTATATGGTACTCGGCAAAAACAAATATGTGGTAAGCATCCTCAGTGTCAGCTGAATTTTTCCCTTCTAGAAATGTATCCTTACTGAGACTTGGAAAGGGTTATCAAGCAGAAATCTATATGACTTTCCTAGGGCTGTTGTAACAAGATACCACAGAAAGAATGGTTTATTTTTTTTATTTTTTATTTTTTTTAACTTTTATTTAATATAAATTTCCAAAGTATAGCTTATGGATTACAATGGCTCCCCCTGCCCCATAACTTCCCTCCCACCCACAACCCTCCCCTTTCCCGCTCCCTCTCCCCTTCCATTCACATCAAGATTCATTTTTGATTCTCTATATACAGAAGATCAGTTTAGCATATATTAAGTAAAGGTTTCAACAGTTTGCACCCACACAGAAACATAAAGTGAAAAATACTGTTTGAGTACTAGTTATAGCATTAAATCACAATGTGCAGCACACTAAGGACAGAGATCCTACATGAGGAGTAAGTGCACAGTGACTCTTGTTGTTGACTTAACAAATTGACACTTTTGTTTAAGGCATCAGTAATCACCCTAGGCTCTTTTCATGAGTTGCCAAGGCTATGGAAGTCTTTCGAGTTCACCGACTCTGACCATATTTAGACAAGGTCGTAGTCAAAGTGGAAGTTCTCTCTTCCCTTCAGAGAAAGGTACCTCCTTCTTTGGTGACCTGTTCTTTCCACTGGGATCTCACTTGCGGAGATCTTTCATTTTGGGTTGTGTTTTTTTTTTTTTTTTTTTCCCCAGAGTGTCTTGGCTTTCCATGCCTGAAATACTCTTATGGGCTTTTCAGCCGGATCCGCATGCCTTAAAGGCTGATTCTGAGGCCATAGAGCTGTTTAGGACATCCGCCATTCTGAGTCTGCTGTGTATCTCGCTTCCCATGTTGGATCATTCTCTCCCTTTTTTATTCTATTGGTTAGTATTTGTAGACACTAGTCTTGTTTATGTGATCCCTTTGACTCAGTCCTATCATTCTGATCAATTGTGAACAGAAATTGATCACTTGGACTAGTGAGATGGCATTGGTACATGCCACCTTGATGGGATTAAATCGAATCCCCTGGTATGTTTCTAACTCTACCGTTTGGGGCAAGTTAGCTTGAGCATGTCCCAAATTGTACATCTTTTCCCTCTCTTATTCCCAGAGTGGTTTAAAACAAGGGAAATTATTTCGTCAAAATGCAAGAGGTCAGAAACTGGATAGAGGTGTTGATAGGATTGGTCTTTTCTTGGGGGCCCTGAGAACAAATGTGTTCCTGGCTATTGGCAGATGCCAGTAACTCCTTGATATCCCTTAGTGCATGGCTGTGTAACTCTATAATTTATGTTTTTGTTGTCAAGGGGCCTTCTATCTGCCTCGAAAATTTAACCTCAAGGAGAATTTTAGGAGATAAGTATAAGAAAGCAGAATATTGGTTCCTAAGTTTTCTTTCTTTGAGATAAAGATCATGGATTACTCATATAGAACATATTTATTTATTTATTTAATTTATTTATTTTTTATTTTTTGACAGGCAGAGTGGACAGAGAGAGAGAGAGACAGAGAGAAAGGTCTTCCTTTGCCGTTGGTTCACCCTCCATTGGCCGCCGAGGCTGGCGCGCTGCGGCCGGCGCACCGTGCTGATCAGAAGGCAGGAGCCAGGTGCTTCTCCTGGTCTCCCATGGGGTGCAGGGCCCAAGCACTTGGGCCATCCTCCACTGCACTCCCTGGCCACGGCAGAGAGCTGGCCTGGAAGAGTGGCAACTGGGACAGAATCCGGTGCCCCGACCGGGACTAGAACCTGGTGTGCTGGCGCCGCAGGGCGGAGGATTAGCCTATTGAGCCGTGGCGCCGGCCACTCATATATAACATATAAATTCTGAATTTGAGAATTGCTCATGACCACACATACTCCTATAATATTTCTTGTCTTGATTTTTCAAAGGATACACTTTTATCTTTTTTTAATGATGCATCTTTTAAGGAATAAAGTAATGATCCTGTGCATGTGTCAAAAATTTTAACTTACTAATTAATGAGTGATACAGTAGATATTACAGACCAATTCAAAAGAGTAGTAAAAGTACCGTGAATTTATAGTTAGCTAAAGAATGTTGAATTTAGCAATGGATGCAAAACTTGTCATAATTCACAGGGTGATAATGAATTACATTGAACAAGACACAGTTTGTGTTTCTATGGAGAGGGATTATTTGCATGACTACCAACTTTCTGTAAGTTAACTTCTGCCTCTGCATGTAACTTCTGTCATTTATAGATGTTATCTTTGCCACATAGCCTAGACAAAGTCAAATAAAAGCTCAGGCCTTTAGGGCATGGTAATCACCAGAGACTTTAGCATAGCATGGAACAAGATCAGTCATATCTTTTGTCCATTTCAAGTACATTTCTATGTTTTTTTCTAGTTTCTAAAATGACTAGACTAAATATATTTAGCAGAAATTCTACTTGATTGTAGAATCTGCAGAGATTCTGCAGTCATTGAATATCCTATTGAAATTTCTGGCTTATGCTGTTAAATATTGTATTGCCAGTGTGTTCTGAATTTCTCTTACTGACCGATTTTTTCTTTCTGCCTCTCAGAAAACAACTCTTTTTGCTGCACATGTCAGTGGAGCTGTGCTCACTTTTGGTATGGGCTCATTATATATGTTTGTTCAGACCATCCTTTCCTACCAAATGCAGCCCAAAATTCATGGCATTCAAGTCTTCTGGATCAGACTACTCTTGGTTATCTGGTGTGCAGTAAGTGCATTTAGCAGTATCCTTTGCTGTCAGATGTGGCTGGCATTAAATAATTGAAGTAAACACTGTTGGTATATTGGAAGCAGGTTTTTTTTTGGGGGGGCGGGGAGAAGTTCTTAAGGCTACTAATCCTAAACTAAAGGACTTGAAACATGATAATCAGACTGTACGAAGAACTTCAGTATCTACTAAGCCAGGAACAATGATAACAGTTAGCTAGTCCTACTCACTTCAAAGAAATGAGGGATGAGTTAATGCCCTTCCTAAGATCAATTATCCAACAGACAGACATTCATGATAGAACTGCTACTTTCCTGAGCAAGAAGGTGGAGGTTGACTGTGAGAGCCACTTTGTAGTGATTGTCTTAGAGTAATTTTAGTTTTGCTCTTGCTGTGTGGTACTAAGTCTTTAAGGAAATGAGTGTAGATGTTGGCAACAAATGTAAGTTATCTTTTTGGGACCTTAAAAGAGAATTCTGTTTAGAGTCTAATTTAAATTTACAGATCTTATCTGAGATTCTTCCTTGACTTATTTTTTTTATAGTGCTAACTTGCTCATCAATTTTGTACAGTGGTGATTTTGGCATTGATTTAGTTCAGAAACTCCATTGGAACCCTGAAGACAAAGTAAGGATTTATTTAATCTGTAAAACTTGATCACTTCTGAGGTATTTTTCATTTCATCACTAACAATGTAACTTTTTTTGGTAGAATAATCAGCTATATTTTAGGGTAATTTTCTGAAAATCATCTTTGTGTGGAGACATCCATTATTGTCATGTCACCGTGATAGGTAAATATTTTCATGAAGAGAATTATGATGGCAAAGAGTTTTCTCAGAAACTGACTTCCCTAAATACAGATATAGCTTATAAAAGATACCCAACAGAGTTCTTTGATTATTAGAATACTTCTTTCTTGAGTTGAAAAGATGTCTTTTCTTACTTTGTATTGTCTGAAAATGTATTTTGAACTCTGCATCTGGGTTCCAATAATACTGAACATCATCTCTAGTCTTGAGAATAAAAGAGATAAGGGACATGTACTCAATACTGAGTTCATCTATTTTCATAAACAACCCTGCAGCTTTTTGTTTTAAATCATTTTTTGAAGAATTGTCTGTGAATAAGACATGGTTGTGAGAATAAAATTGTAAAATAACTTAGTAGATTCTCCAAATTTAACTCATATGTTATTTAATATTCTAAAAATAGCACTTACTGAGCTTGTGATGAGCATTGTTAAAAAATTTCTTAGTGGCATTTCATGAGTCCTTTCTGGCTTTGGGAAAGACAGTGACTCCCTGATTGTAGAGTAGAAATTCTCCTGTTCTGTCTTGGTTATGTAAATGGAAATTTTATTTGCTGTAGGTGAAACTAAGATAACTAGTTTCATTTAGGAGCAATTCCTAGTGTGTGCTCTTTAATTCTTGAGATATGTTTGATAAATGTGAAAGATTGACTTTTAGAGGATAGATTGGTTAATAAGAATTGTGAGGTTTTTTTTTTATTTGAGAAATACTATAGATTATTTCAGTGAAATTTCACAGAATTGTTCTTTCCCCCTGTGACTCAAGGGTTATGTGCTTCACATGATCACTACAGCAGCAGAATGGTCTATGTCATTTTCCTTCTTTGGTTTTTTCCTGACTTATATTCGTGATTTTCAGGTAAGACAACACAGTATTAAATTTATGGGGTCAAACTTCCTTCAGCTGGGATGAGAGAATATTCCATAGGTAAACCTCTAGGCTTTTCAGAATTTAACTGTTTAAAACCTGACACCATATGCAGTGATTTGTGAAGAGTAACTTATTTGTGTTTGAAATAGTACGTGCTAACAAGGTTTTGCCTTGAAAATGGAGTTGTAAGTGAATTTTAAAAATATATAGGTCATCCTCAATGTCTATTTTTACTGATTCTTGGCAGAAAGCAAAGAAAAACAAGGAACCTCCTGAACAGGGGAGCTTGGTTTTCTCAGGTCAATAGCTCATCTCACTCTCATTATCTATTGGAAACGATCTACATCTTTGATCCCAAACATAGTCTACAGAACATATTGAAAAGGTGCTTTCTCTTTTAGGAGTGAATTTCTGTATATAATTTTCTTTTCTGTTCCAGAAAATTTCTTTACGGGTGGAAGCCAATTTACATGGATTAACCCTCTATGACACTGCTCCTTGCCCTATTAACAATGAGCGGACACCACTACTTTCCAGAGATTTTTAACGAAAGGATGAACGTATTTTTGTGACTATTATGATTCTCAGGGATTGGGCAAAGGTTCACACAAGTTGCTTTTTCCACTCTGAAATTTTCAACCAGTTGATCAAGGCTGACAGTGATGATGATGATGAATACTGATAATTAGGAAACATGAAATAAGCCATTTGATGAGATGTTTTAAAGGATATCATCAAGAGGACTATTTAAAACATTTATGCCCATACTTTTTTATCCAGAAAATAAAACCAAAGGACTGACACATTGTAGTTTTTCCTACTCTATTTAAAGGAAACAACTTGAAGTGCATGAACCAGCCTTTCACATTTTATAAATCATTTTTTAGTGTGTTTTATTGGGAGCACTTTTATGAAAGGGATTTTTCCATGACCCAAAATAATCTGCATTAGTCAGTATATTCTTTTGTATTATGTTGTGAAGTAGAAGTTTTACCCTATTTATAGGGTCTCTGGTAGTCTTAAGACTTTGTTGCTGTTGTTCTGGAATCCATCTATAAATGGAAGCAGATGTGAATTCCTGTGAGTTCTTTCTTGGCTTAAGCTTTGCATCAGAGATTCTGTAGGTTTTGATTTGAATCTGGGTACAAGGTCAGATGCTATGCTAACTGGTTTGTCATACATTCTTGCCATAATGTCATGAAGCTTGGTCTCTGGTAGGAGATCTTAATCACCAATGAAGGAGAGTTACCTCTAGATACATTTACTCCAGTGATGCTTTACTTAGAAAAAAGCATTAGAATTTATATACAAGGCTGAGATACATGAGTAATAGCAGATATCAAGCAAAAGTCACTCCAAACTGCTGTCAAGAGTGTTTACATTTTTTCATTTATAGTAAATTGTAAAAGTAGTCTTGAACAGATAAAAATTGAGCCTTTGTAATGGTATTTGATCTCTGTAGAATTCAAATTAAGTACAAAATGTTTGTGAGATACATATATATATATATATAATATACACACACGCATTTATATACATATATATATATCTCATATATGTATATACAAAACAATTTGCTGCCTTTTTCCCCCATCATGCAAGTGATTAGGTAGTTTCTACTTGAGTCTACTGTGAAGATGAGGAATGGTTTACAAATCCCTGACAAAATTAAAGAGAAGAAAATACTCATCTGGAAGATGCTTACTGGGGAACTGCAAATGTGTCTAAGAGGATTTACAAGGCATGTCTTTTTTAGAAAAGAGAGTTCCATGGCCAAAATAAAAGTGATAAGAAAGAGTTTAACATGTAAGAAAGAACAATTTAAGGGATAATTCTCCTGTGATGGAAATGGAAACCTCATTTATAAGTAAGTTCCTGGACATGGGAATCAAAGTAAAAACAAAAACAAAAACAAAAAACAAAAAAACCCAAATTCGAAATCTTCTGAAGACTTGTGGACAGAAAATGAAATATTGTTTATCTATATCAAGCACCTTTGAACATGGGAAACATTTCAATAAATGTTGACTGAATGTTGGTTGGTATCACTAGGGGAAAAAATTCCAAAAAACCCAAATTCAAAATCTTCTGAAGACTTGTGGACAGAAAATGAAATATTATTTATCTATATCAAGCACCTTTGAACATGGGAAACATTTCAATAAATGTCGACTGAATGTTGGCATCACTAGGGGAAAAAATTAAATACAAATAGTAAAAAAAGTATCATGCTTTTGAAAATCATCATGCAGCCACTCCTGGGAAATGCCATCTAGTCCTGATTGCTATATATCAAGAAAATTATGATGCAAGTTATGAACAATTGCAGTATGATAAGAAGGAAATTGATAGTATCAAAATTAATAATATTTCAAATTATGTATAGGGAAGGTGATTCAGGGAAAAACAAAGACTTCCTTGTCCATTTCTAGAATATTAGACTTAGTGATACAGACCACACATTATTTTTTTTAAAGATTTATTTATTTATTGAAAGTCAGAGTTACATAGAGAAGGAGAGGCAGAGAGAGAGAGAGAGAGGTCTTCCATCCGCTGGTTCACTCCCCAATTGGCTGCAATGGCAAGAACTGCCCCAATCTGAAGCCAGGAGCCAGGAGCTTCTTCCTGGTATCTCACATGGGCACAGGGGCCCAAGGACTTGGGCCATCTTCTTCTGCTTTCCCAAGCCATAACAGAGAGCTGGATAGGAACTGGAGCAGCCAGGACTCGAACCAGTGCCCATATGGAATGCCGGCACTGCGACTTTTACCTGCTATGCCACAGAACTGGCCCCTCATTTTAAGACAAAAATATTATTTTGATAGTATTTGAATTCCATTAATTAACTTAGGGAAATTTGGTAAGGCTCTTTCTACCTTGTGAATCTGCCTTCTCCTAGAATCTTGTCACCAGTATCTAGTTGGTACAATGAAAAGAAAATTGAAAAGCAATATTTTGTTTCCCAGTAATATCAGAATAGATACATGTTCAGTTGGCTTTCTCAAATTCAACCTGTAGCTACATGTAACTGCCAGGGAAGCTAGGAAATGCAATCTTGCTGTGTGCTCAGGACAAAAAGGAAACAGACTTTCACTGTCAGTTCACAGCATTGCAAATTTTGTTAGCTTAAGCACTCTTACTCTGAAATCTAAAGATTCAACACAAAAATGTTCATTGAAGGGCTTCTGTTTGGTATAGCAATTATGATGCCTCTTGGCATACCCACAACTCATATCTGGATCTCTGGGTTCAAGCCTTAGCTCTGCTTCTGAATCCAGCCCTCGTTTTTTTTTTTCTTTCCCTTCACATTGCTGATATGCACCCTGAGGGACAGCTGGTAGTTGCTCAAGTATTTGGGTCCCTACCACCCACATGGGGGATCTAGACTGAGTTCTAGGCTCCTGCCTTCAGCCTGGTCCAGCCATAGTTACTGTAGGTATTTGGGGAGTGAACCAGAAGGTAGTACATCTCTTTCTGAGTGTTTCTTTCAGACTGTCTGCCTTTCAAAATGGAGGAAAATGCAGTAAAGTTCATTGAATTAAAGAGAAGCACCTTATTTGTTCACCCAAAACTATGGTATTTGTGGAGGCAAGACATGTTTGTAGGGAAAGCATGATTGTCTTCACTACTTCAGCCTTAAAGCTAAAGATGACAGAGAATGCCCTAGAAATCTTAAAATACCAGTGATGATAGAGTACAGAGATAAATCTCATTGTTTGAAAAGCTGGCAGCTTACTTGAAAAACCCAAAGATTTCATTAGAATCTCACCAATGCTCAGATCCCAGTCCCCTCTAAAAGGGAAATCCTGTCCATTGACTCAGAAGGGAATGATAAATAATCAGACTACCTGCAGCAAAGCCCAACTCCTTGCCAACTGTGGATCAGATTGATTAACCTCTAACACTAGAATGCTGACAAAAGAAGAGGCATACCTTTTTCTGGAGGCAACTATTTGTTTTCATTTATACTATCTTTTTGTAGAAAATATATAGGACACAGTAAAAGATTATAAGGCACACAAAGTAGCGGAACAATGTGATTCAGAGAAGACGTAGATAATAGAAGCAGCTCAGAAATTTCCTGGATGGTTGGTCTATCTGGATGGAGTTCATGATGCTGAAAGATATAGTTAAAAAAATAAGCGGTGGAAAACATGCATGACAAAATGAAGAATTTCAGTAAAGATACAGAAAACTTAGGGAAAAAACCCAGAAATTTGTAACAGGTGTTTAGCTTAGTGGTTAAGATGCCTGATTCCCCTATCAGGGTACCTGGGTTTGATTCCCAGCTCTGGCTTCTGACTCCAGCTTCCTGCTATTGCAAACCCTGGTAGATAGTGAAAATGACTCAATTGGTTGGGGTCCTGCCACTCATTTGGGAGACCTGGGTTTCATTTCCAGATCCTGGCTTCAGTCCTGTGAAGCCTTGCCATTGTGGACGTTTGGGGAGTAAATCAGTGTACAGGAGCTTTAACTCTCTCTCTGCCTCTCTCAAAAGAAAAAAAAAAATCACAAACTGAAATAATTCTTCATTTGAATATGATTTAGATAACATGTAGAGGAAAGCAATAAACTTAAAAGATAGGGCAATTGAAATTATGTGAACCGGAAAAGGAGTGAAAATAAAAATAGAGTATCTGGGATTTGAAGGCATTGAATCTTGGGAGAAGATTGATGCAGAAGAAATGTTTGAAGATATACTGACATAAGAACTTTTTGAAATTGATGAAAATGGACACAAAGAATCAGCAAAATTAAGAGTGCTTTTTTATTTAAATAATTAAAAATTGATAAATACTTAGCAAGACTTGACATTCTGGGTTGAACAGTGTTGTTCCCTGCCCATGCCCTGATTCACATCTCCCTCGGACTTGACAGTGTGACTCAAATTGGAAACAGGGTCTTTCAGATCTAGTTAGTTAAGGTAAATTCATACTAGGCTAGGGTCCTAAATTAATTGTCCTTTAAGAAAGGAATTATGCAGAGAT